TCAGGAGTTGCCCATGCTTTCTGTTGGTATTAACATGCACACATTAGGGTACACTCACTGGCTAACAGGAAATAGAAATAAAAAACATGAATGTCTAAACATAAGTCTGTCCAGCAATCTTAACTTTTAAAGATAGGGCAAGGAAAGGACAAAGTGAAAGCAACTGATGACATCTGTCTGGGTATTCTAAAATAATTTTGCATTTGGAAAGGTAATTAACATCTTTTAATTAAAATTAATTTTACTAGCTTCCTATGAACTGAGAGCAGGCTGATGGGCTATGATCAGTAAAGACAGGGATACACTGAATCACAAGAGATGTCTATGCAAAAAAGTGCTGATCAGTCTTTTTTAAAAATCTACATCTGTGACCTAAAAGGGACAGCACGTATCACATAAATGAAAATACCAAATAATAGAAAGTAATGTGCAAGAGCACAGGAGAAGAAATCATAACCTTACTAGAAAATAATTTTTAAAAAAATGAGAACTTGCCTAAATGCAAGTCCTATGGCATGTAGTTTTAGAAAAGTGTTGACATCTGTTGGTGAACAAGGAGCAGAGCAGCTGAGAAATCTTCAGGAACTGCAGATACAGAGCCCTTTTCCAGTCCCGCACTGGAGGGGTTCAGTCTCATTTGCATGCCTGCTATAGAACAGCTCAGATAATTTTTCTTTAAATGTTGCTAGGTTTTAAAGCAGGGGTTGAGTGTAACGCCACTGTTCTCATTTGAAAAGGAACAAAGAAGCAGTCGAATGCTCTCTGCATGTGGGCCATGCTGATCTACTGTAGCCTGCAGTCATGTGGTAAAGGATAAGGGAAAACAACTTTAACCCTTCTAAACTAAAAGGACAGCAGAGGACTTGTTTTGCTATATACTGCCAGCAAGCAAGGGAAAGCAGGGATACTGGGACAGCTCACTGAAGCTGAGAATGAAGAACAGGCAGGTTGTAACTCAGGTGGTGGGCAGCTGCTGACATCCTTAATGGCCTGTCACAGACATGCCACACAAACTAACAGCATAGGGTTAGACTGATGAAGGTTTGTGCCCTACTGTGGACTTCAAGGGTAGCACTGCTTATTGCAACAAAAAAACCCCGTGCAATTCACATAAACTGAACATTGCTTCCTTCTCATCATGCACTATTATATTTTATAATGCAACACACAGAAGTATTATAAGCTATCCCTGATATCTTAAACCATATTCTTTTCCAACTTAACATAAGAGTGATAGAGGAGCATCTGGGGTTTCTTTCAGACTCTGAGACTAACCAAGCAATCACTCAGAAGAAATGTATGCCAAGTAAAAAATCCAAGTTTATTCAGTTCTTCATTACTGCAGCTAAATAGATATTTACAATCAATGTTTTAAGGCCTTATTTAAAATAACATGGGTGCACAAATTCTTGCTCTTTCCTGTGTCCTATGAGCTATCCCTGCAGTATTAGGTTCCCCAGGAATGCCTTCACCACACTTGAGCCATGCTGGGTCAAACTGTGTCTTCCCTGGCAGTTGGGATCAGGGGTGTCCCCGCTGATGGCTGAGCTGTAGGTCTGCCTGACAGCTGGCAGTGAGTCCAAGTTGACACAGAGTGTGTGGCTTCTGTCTTTATTCCCTTCTTACACCCCATGCTTGGCCCTTTCAAGCCAGTCAAGCGTGAACCCAGTTGTCCTGATAAGCTTGGGTTCAGTTAATGTTCCTAACACAAATGAATATTCAGGGTCATTCCCTTTTTGATTAATCTGTTTGCTGTTATCTTATTGTCATCTCTGAGCCTGTACAGACCTGCATTCCTCACTTCTTATCCCTGTTCATGTGAGTCTGCAGTGCCAGCTTGATCCACACAGCTGGGCAAGTGAACCTCCAGGCCACAGCCTGTCATGGCAGGGCTTTGTTCAGCCTACGCCGTGCAGTGACTTGTGCTATGACATACCCCAGAAGTTGTCCCTTTGATGGCACCTCAAAGGTCCTTCCTTCTTGATGGGCTAGGCCATCACGAGTCTTGCCCTTGCCTGTGCAGAACCTGTCAATGAAGACACAGCTGAGTTGTGTTGCCTTACACCATCTTTCATGTTATATGTCCAAACCTTGTTATTTCTAGCAAGTCTTTATATAAACCTATGCATAAATCTAGCACACTGCAGACCAGCTTTAGAAAGGCTTCATGTCTTGGGAGGCTGTTCCAGACCCTTGCTGCAATTAGCTGTTTTTCAGGACATTTTACTGCCCAGGCTATTCTCTGCAATTTTTGGCAATCATCTCACTTGTCTTTTTCTCTGGCTGAAAGCTATTGCCAAAATTTTAATTTTCACCTCTCCTAAGTGTACCCATCAAGTTCTGAAATATTTCCTCTGTATTCTCACCTTGCTTATTTACTGTCTTCAGTTTCAAAACTGCCTCTACCACGCATCTTCCGAAAACAGGCCTGACATGACATTAAGGCTCCTTTCCAATGCTGTGGTACTATAAGCATGCCTTAAAAGAGGTTTAGAACAAGGCTTAAAAGATAGGGGAGACTTCTGACCTGCCTTCCACACATATATACCCTTGCGAAAGCATTATGGCATTGACATCAGCTAAAACATTCACTGATTTTTTCTGCCCTCTTTTCCATAAAGCCCTCCACATACAGTCAACTTTAAACTTTTGTCTGTTCCACCATAAGGGAGGCCCTTAAACAATATCTAAGCAGGCTCTGAAAAGTTACTAAGGGACATAGCCTGCAGTACTGGGTTTAAATTACTTACGTAAGAGTTTGCACTGCTATGCTGAAAACAGCGAAATGGCTGAAAATACATGAGATATGTAACATGTGTAAGAGATCTCAACTAAAGGATATCCTTTCCTTTTTACTATTTATCACTTTCCTAAACTTGGTTCTAGTATGTTTGGCAGTGATGGCTAGTTTGGCACCGTTTCTACATACTGCGAATTTCAAATGCTGGATTATTAGGTACACAACATATGGCTGAAAAAGTACTAATCCCAAACAGAAACTTCGTTGCCAAGCATAAGGCAGATGACCAGCAAAAATTTATTTTAAACCAACATATAGCCGGTTTATTAGTAGAAAATCTAGGTGAAAAGTGAGGTCAGACCTGATAAATCGGGAGTGCAGACAACTTGTGTGTTCGTGCTGACTGGACAATGTCAATTCAGTACCCTACAGACTCATCAATCAGGTGACAGATGTAATAGTGTCTCCCATGTTTTTGCAGTGCCTCCCCTAACTGGAAGCTACTGGGCCCCTGCTGGGCCAGAACCATCCTAGATGCTTCTCTTTGTGTTCCTCAGTCTATTAGGGTTTATGCACAGCACCAGCTTTGTACCTCCTACAGATTTAATCTGCAACCAAATAACTCATCCATGTGAAACTGTAAATTGACAACAGCTAGAACCTTCTAAGCCAAATGAACTGAGAAACCACAATAGTTTCTTTCCCTCTCCACCCTCCCCATACTTAGTTTGAAAGTGCACTAAAGTGTATGTTTGGTTGGGATTGAAAAGTATGCTCTTTTTCAGGGGAAACCCATAGATTTCATGGTTTACACCCATCTGCTGAAGTAACGACAGGTTCTTCATTTAGGCTCTTTTGTTACTACTTTCCTTTGGCATCAGCAGAACCAACCTAAGGCTGACGGCAGTCATTGTGCACTGTTCACAGATGCAGCTTTATACTGCCACAGAGCAACTCCAGGTTGCATGCAGAGTCAGGACAGATGCAACATGCATACTCAGAGCAATCTCACATGCTGCTGCCAAACCTTCTGCAACCTTTCCAGGGATCCTTTCTGAACTTATCGAGGTCTGCACAGCATGGGTCCGTGCCCTGAGATGTCAGCGCAGTTGGGAAAAGCAACTCCAGAACACTGAACACCAGTTTGTGAGCCTCTTTTCTTTTACCTTCAGTGACTGATTTTGTTACCAAAGGATCAAACATCACACTGAAGCTGCAAAAGCAGAATGCGCACAAGAAGCAGGCATCTGTCTTTTCCTCATGGGTGCGCACAATACGGCTGCGGTTGCACAGCCCCAGCTCGTTCTTTGAGCCAATGGTGCGGCACAGGCCATCTGCCCATCACCCAGGACCTGTTGGGAAAGCAGGAGAGAGGGGAAAGAAAAGTTCAAGATGGACTGGGAGGGCACCACCTGATGCAAGAAGCATGCAAAGCATAGGGAAGCTCAAGGGGTCAGTGTTAATGGCTTGCAGTGGAAAGCTGAAAGCATTTTAACTCTTTTGCTTTAGTTAGTTATGCCCAAAACGATGGACAAGGTCCTGGTCTAATTTTACATCATTGGAAGGTGCAAGTGAAAATTGGCCAAAAGTAGCATACACCCTGTGGAGCTGTACAGATGTCGAATAAGGTCAGAACCTGGTCTGCTAATTCCTCTACAGCCACACTAATGTTCTTCATATTCAGAGGAATAATCTCTTTTTATTTATGCATCCCTAAATATTCCAGCAGCCATCTGAGGCACAAAACGGTGCTACCATTGATATGGACGGGCAAGCCATAGAGCTTACGCTCTGCACCATAAGCATGTCTTCACTTTTCCTCGTCCAGGGTAGCAAGCCGTTTCCAAACACATGGTTTCTAACGGGATCCCCAGCCCGGCAAGCCGTGCAGCGCCTGAGCTCCCGGAGCTGCACACTCGCTGCTGGCACGCCGCTTTCGTGCCTGTTTCTGCGACCTTTGCTGTAACCATCCACAAGCGCAGGGTGAACGAAAAGAAAACAAGCCTACACATCTCCAGAGTTCTGCTAATACTGAGGTGGCAAGAGGGCGAGTTTCACTCTAAAGTGCGCTTAAAACTTTCCCCGGGCAGGGCGGAGCGGCTCCTCCTCCCCGGCTGGCCGGACCCCCCCGCACCACCTGCGAGAGGCGGGCACGCCGCTCCCACCCCCGGCCGTTGCTTTCCCCACCCCTCGGCACCGCTGGCCTCTCCGCCCCCAGGGGCTACGCGCACTTTCACCCCGCCGCCTGGGCGCTTTGCAGCAGCCCCGCTGCCTCTCTAGAAAGTTCTCGGTTCCTCCCTCTCCGCTCTCCTCCCCTTCCTCCTCCCCGCCGCTCGGGGGTTGGCGCTGCAGCGCGGGCAGGAGCCGCGCGGTTGCTCGCCCCCGCTGCTCGGAGCCGGAGGCGCAGCGAGGCGCTCCTGGCAGCCCGGCGGGAGGCTGGTGTTGACCCCGACCCTGCTAGGCGGCCCTTCCCTGCGCAGCGGTGGCAGCGGCAGACGGGATGACGGCGGAGGAGATGAAAGCGGACGGGGCTCCCTTGAAAGGGGCGGACATCACCCCCAAGCAGGATGAGGGCGTCCTCAAGGTACCTGGCAGCTGCGGTTCACACGCTCCCCGTCCGCATCCCCCGGCCCTGACGCGGAGGCCGGCGGGGAAGGCGGCGTGGGGGCGGGCTGGCCTCTTCTCGCCTGGGAGCGGGCGCTCCGCGGGCGCCCCGGCCCCGCCGCGGCCCGCTTGGTCCCCTGAGGGGAAGCAGGCGAGGCCCTCACCGGGCTGCCCGCCGCACCGCAAGCTCGCGCAGCCCTGGCAACGTAGCGGCGGCGCGCGGAGAGGGCGGGAGGGCGCTTTGGCCGCGCACGCGCCCCGCGGCGGGGATGCCGGCAGCTCCCCCGCTGAGGCGAGCCAGGGCCGGGGCTGCCCGCGGGGAAACCCCGCGGTTGCGGCGTGGGGAGAGGCGCTTCTCGCGGCGTTCGGGCTTTTCCCCAGGGCTGGGGGGGGGGCGAAAGATGGCCGGGCCGCGCTCTCCGCTACGTTGGTTTTTTTTTTTTGGGGGGGGGGAGGGGGCTGGGTCCGCGTCTGTCCCTCAGCACGTGTTCGCGCGCTGGGAATCAAAGATGGTGCTTCAGTAGGGGACATGTATTTCGTATACATTCATAGCTGGTGTAAAGCAGTGCTGCGCTGCCTACTTTTGCCCATCTTTAAGGCTCTGAAAATGAGGCTCTCCATCTTGGTGCGAGCAGCCGCTCAGACCTGAGATGGTGCATTGTACACGTGGGCCTGATGTAAATGCAGCCCGGCGGCAGGAGCTGGAAGAGCTGCCCGTTGGTTCAGCTGAAGTGGGAAAACGAGCTAGCAACAAACTGCAGGTGAGGCCACGAGTAGAGCTGGCTGCAAGGCTGGCCGCTGTTGCGGTTTGTGCCGTGTGTTGAGAATGCCAGCAGACTGGCTTCTTTCCTTTGTATTGGAAAGTCAGTTGATAAGGATAGCAGAATTTAAACCATGAGGGGGAGTTGCATTAACTTCCTATGTCAGATATTTTATATTTCCACATCTCTAGAAACTTCTTTAACCTCTCTCAGAAGCTTTAACGCTCCCTAGAAGCATTTTTATATCACAGTGATATTTCAGAGGTACAGTGTTTGGAAGAAGAAAAGTGGCATCAGAGGAAAGACAAAATTCTGTTTTTAACCTTTAGAGCCTTCTGGCTTTAAATTCCGGGTTTGTTATAGAAACACTGTCTCCAGTTCAGGAAGGGGTATCGGGGACCAGACTGAAGATCTGTGGTTGGCCTCTATACCCTGCTTTCTTTTAGTTCCTGCTGACATGCTTTGGTGAGTGTTTCTATTTTTTTTGCATGTAGCACAGTATCAGGTCAGGGTTCTCATCTGCGTGGCTTCCTGGGAAGCTGTCTGCGGGTCTCCTGCGTCTCAGATCCTGCCTGAGCGTGGTAGAAGGCAGTGAGTGTCTGCCTACTCCATGCAGTACCCACCTTTTGATGGAGAAGCAATAGATGCTTTATCTTTTTAAAGGCAGGGGGAAAAATTACTGACAAAATAACTGAGCTTGTGAAGACATCAAAAAAGGTGAGGTTGTCAATTCACAAGGCAAAAGACTATAGAGGTCATGAAGTCCAGCCTTCATGGATTTTATTTTTCTAGTAATTGCCAGAGTGGAGAATACACCATTGAAATCAAGGGAGTAACTCAGAACTAATCTATACCAATTTTGTACTGGTATTGTTGCACTGATTCTAGGAGGCTTTTTTATTTTGTTCATTAGCTTTGTATCAGAATAGTATCCAGAGGTTTTTACCTGGCATTACTGAATGTGTTTGCACCGTTTCTAGTGTAAGTATTTAGAATTAGAAATATTTACAATCATAATATCAGAAAGACTGGGTTTCTCCATCTGAAAGGCAAATGTAAACCTTACAGAAAATAGGGTTGCCATATTGAATATATGAAAAAAGTGAAAGTTGAGTCTCTTGAAAATTGAATAAATGCAGAAGAATAATGTATGAATACTGGAAATGAGAGTCATTATTTTCATGTTGGATAACCTGGTATGACACGACAATAATATGGCATTTGGAAAAGCTTACTAAATTTCCATTAAATGCAGTTACTATTTCAAAGTGCCTTCAGATGGGCTGCTTTAAAATTTCTAGTTTGGATCTACTTTTATCTAAGCATGGTGTAGTTTAGGTTGACTACAAGACTTGTGTTATTTTCATATGTCTCTCTTCCCTGATCTCTATGAGAGTGGCTGCTTGAATTTTTGCTTTACTTGAGAGATAAATCAATAGATTAGTTCTGTAATACTAAAAACTGCTGTAGCACTGAGGTGGTGCAAGGTAAGGAGATGGTGTGCTGTGTGAGGTCAGGCATCCTATTTCACACTGTACATTCTCTCCCTAGGAAACTAATCAGGTAGTAATATTTTCTGTGGTGTGTTTTTTTTTCCTGTGTTTTTTTTTTGTTTTGTTTTTCCCTCTTAGCATCCAGTGAGGTACCTTCAGCTTGAGTCTGACAGAAGCTGTTCACATTGCCTCGGCTTTGGGTGGAGGGTCCTGGCATTTCTGTGCTGCAGTCAGTTGTAGGGATGGTGGAAGGCAAAGTAGGAGGCTGATAGTGGTTGGTTGCAAGAAGTTGAAATTTGGGAGAGAGACTCCCACAGGTCTGCTTCCTTCAGTAAAAAACATGATTGGTATAGAAGCATGACATTTATATAGCTTTTTTTTTAAAGCAGGGGCACTGATCCATGCTTCTGTATAATTGCCCTTGAATAAATGTTTATCTTATGTGAACGCTGTTTCCCAGGCCTCTACAGATGCAAGCAAATAGGGTCATCCATTGGTTCCCTTTTGCCTAACTAAAGTAATGCAAGGCTTTGGCTTGGAGCTAGGCTGTTTCAGTCAGTATTGGAGAAAACTCAAATTTGAACTTTGGAATCCTGTTATGGGCAAGGCTTCATATCCTTGCCCTATGAGATATGTTGGTATTATTCTTTATTTTTATATGCATTTCAAATGAACACCAGAGAGATTGGCTGATCTTCTTTTTTGTATAGTGTAGATCTAGTTGATACTCTTCTTCCTATGGGGAACCTCTTGAAGAAAATAAAATCTTTGCAGCTGTATGTGAAATGAGGGTGCTGGGAATCCGTGTCAGAGTTGTGGGGAGATGAAATTAATACAGTATAATAATTCCTAAGTGTTACTGTGTTGGATGCTAGAACTAACCTGCATTGGGGTGACATTTTGTTAATCTTTGTTAAACTGTCTGGTTTAACTCAAGTAATCTCAGAATACATGTTAGAATACACTTTGCATGGAAGGAACCTGCTTGGTTTCTTGTTTAAATGCTTTGCCTAAATGCGCTATTTTTTAAATGTTTTACCTGATGCAGTTTCAAGAACACTTAAAATCTTATTGAGGAAAGGTAATTGACATTGCGAACTAGGTGCAGAGATCTGTAAGCTGGTGCCAACTGTTGCCAATTAAGTTCTTGTATCACAGCACAGCCATGTTGAGGTTCCTGCGTATGCAGCACTACTAATCTGTAGACAGAATAGTCGGTTCACTTCCAGATAACTTAAGTAAACCTGCAAATCCTTTTTCTATTGAAGATGATAACACATGCATCTAAGTAAATGGAGTTAATGTCCAATAGACAGACCCATCATCTTAACGTTGCTTTACTGTTTTTCTCAGGTTGTCAAGAGAGAAGGCAGTGGCACAGAGTCTCCGATGATAGGTGATAAAGTGACCGTTCATTACACAGGATGGCTTCTTGATGGCACAAAATTTGACTCCAGTCTAGACAGGAGAGACAAATTTTCATTTGACTTGGGCAAAGGTAATATCTTGTGTTTGGTATTGATCAGTTTCGGTAATAACTGAGATGGGATTTCCTTGCTGCGTGTCTCCTTTGCATGTTAGAGTTGCTGTCTAAACTTGTTTTCAGAGTTTAAGGTTTATTCTCATAGAATGGACCAATAAGAGCAGTTCTGAGATTTATTTTGAATGAGAAAACTGTGTAGTCCCTTGATGAGTCTTGCTGAAGAATTCATGGGCCTCAGACAAAGCACTCTGGGGGAGCAAATTTGTCCTGAAGAGTAGCGAAAAAGAGTAGTTAAATAGCCAGAGCATGCATTTTTTTTGCTTTTTTGGCAGACTCAAATTCAGGAGTACTTAATTGTGACCAGATATTGGGACAGGGTGCATGAGGGCAGCTGTCAGCTGCAGTATGATGAAACGTACTCCTTTTTTCACCAAGTTCCCAAATGAACCCAAATGTGAATCTTGAAGTAGTGCGTCCCTTCATTATTAAAAGCCTTCATTTTTTGAATGCAAAAATCCAGATGTCCTTGTTCCAGCAAATCTTATTAATCAATCTGAGCTCTCCTGGCTTTATTTGGGAGATAAATTCTGCACTGTACTGAAATTTGAGATTATATGAAGTGTACCTATTAATACAAGAGTAACGAAGGCTGCTTGATTGTGCTGAAAGGAGCAGCAAGTAGGAGAGCTTGAGTAAGAGATAAGATTTTGTTACTTGAGGTTCCAGCATCTGTTCAGTTTTGGCTTTAGAAGGAATACTACTTCTCCTACTTTCCTCCCCCTTTCTGTTACAAGTGCATGTAACTTCTAGTTACCACTTGTGCTACTCTTTGCCAACTGATAAAGTACAGAAAGAAAAGGCTGTTTTGGATTGTTTACAAAATATGAGCAGGCAATCTCTCACCCTAAGATCTTCCTCTTCAAAGAGTTTATTGTTATTTCCTTGCACTTGAGATAGCGTGCTTCAGCCCGTGTCTGTGCGCAGAGGCGAGAAAGTAAGGGAAGAAGAAGACTCACTACACGTAGAATGAAGACATTTAGCTAAATTTGGGTCCCCAAGTAATTTTATAATTTGATTAGGATTAAAACTGATGTACGTAAATCAGAATGAGCACATGTTTTTTAGTATTTTTGCTCTGTCTTAGCTTTCGTATACTAGAAGTGATGATGCTTAGTTCCATAGCTGATCGTACTTTTCATGTATGCCTAGAAATCATGTGATTTATATTTGACTTGCATAGGTGAGGTGATCAAAGCATGGGACATTGCTGTCGCAACTATGACAGTTGGTGAAATTTGTCGGATTACATGTAAACCAGAATATGCCTATGGTTCAGCTGGGAGCCCCCCAAAGATACCTCCCAATGCTACACTGATTTTTGAGGTAAGTGAGAGATGGTCACTAAAACTGTACACTTGAAAAATAAACAAAAATCATATTTCACTGTTAAAAATGTATGATGTAATATCCTTTCAAAACAGGAATGTTAAGTTCGCTAAAGAGAAAAATACGGTCAATTAGGGTAGTGTGGACAAAGCATAGAGTTGTAGTCTGGCTGCTACTGATCTGCAATGGCTCAGGTTCCCTTATTTTGGAGTTTTGAAAATACTTGAATGTTTTCCTCTGTTCATAGTTTCAGTTTTACAGTTATGGAATGATTCACCGTAGGAGAACACAGGTTGGGAAGGTGGACTGTCTCAGTGGCAGACTTTGAAGTAGTTGAAAAAATGTAATCCTCTTTCTACTTCCTAAGACTCAAAATAATGATACTTATGTTAAACAATATAAAGATTTCAACAACAGAAGAAGCAATTCATGTTCTCAGTAATATATTTTCCACACTTTTTCTTCTTTGCAACATTAACACAATCTTTTTATGAGCTATTTTGGGGGAGAAAAGAGATAATTACCCCATATAAACTGCTAGAATATAGTATATTTGAACAGCCCTGCAACTGTGAATTCTGTTTCCTGTAGAGCTGAGCATTTTAATAAGCCTTAAAGCACTACAAGAACAGTTTGGATTCAGGTTACTTGTTTATTACAAGAGTTTTTCTGTGGATCCAGGCTACACTGATCAAACTTACCATCAGTCATTTGTACATGCTTGGGCCCTGTGACATATTTAGCAGTCTCGAGTTTGGTGTCTGGATAACGCTAGTTTTACAATTCACATGGACGGACAGTTGTTCTCCTCAGAGGTGAACTGCATGTTTTGGTGAGCATGGAGCCAATTAGCGTGGGCTCTTAACCTCACCAGCAGAGGACAGAATTTGTTTCCTAGTGATCTTTAGGGCATCTGCCCCTCAAAATGTAGTGGAAATAGTAGTTGTCTCTTGTCCGTGTACAGTGTCTCAAAGCTCAAGACCTTCTACCTTGGCAGTATAATAAAGCATTCTTAATGGCTTAGCACTTGTACACAGGATGATATATCATTGTCCTGCAACATGAGATAATATCTAACCTTCTGATAAATAAAAGCTCTAACTGCAACATGAGATTTGTTTCATCAGAGTACTACTGATTCTGATACAGTCATCCAGATTATTCACTTCCCACTAGGTTTTTTTCTTAATAATGCCACTCTGACCTTTCTATCTTCTAGGTACTGTTTAGATAAAAGTAGTGTTTTATTCATGACCCTTTATATCCTCTGATGCTTGCCTGTGCAATGATGTTAGAGGGAGGAAGGGAGAAGGAGAGGAAGGGAGAAGGAAAAGCACTGAAGCTGCCTATGATGGTTTTGTGCTTCCCTAAGAAAATGGCCTGTCGATGACTGGCTACAATAATAAGCAGTGCTGGGTGTGTCCTGAATTGGGGTTTTAGGGGGAAACTTACATCCAGAAAGTTTTCCTAAGTTTTATTAGATAGGAGTGACTTCTTACTAGTATGATTCTCAGGCACTTAATCTCTTAAGTTTCCACTTTCTTTAGTCTTGCTCCTATGTTTCCTTTTATTATTTTAAACAGTGTAAACATGGTTCCTTTGCAGGTGCCATTCCCATACCAAAATTTTAGAGGAGTTGCCGTAAAGAGGACCCTCTAAAACTAAGGACTCTAAAAAGGACTCTCTAAAATGTAAAAAGATTTTTGTTGCTGTGTCATAACCACATCAGCATTTGTTTATGACCTGAAATAATGGATGTCTTATGATTTGGGTTTTGAGTTTGTTTTTTGTTTTTTTTTCCTTCCTCATGATTGCTTTTGATAAGCAATATGAAGAAATAGATTCTTCCATAGAATACTGCTGTTCAGGTAAAAAAAAAAAAAAAAAAAAAAGGAGGGAAACCTGTATGGTCATCAGAGGAATGTAATGTTCTGGAATAATTTATCTTGTTTCAGACTGAAGAGAAAGGCTAGAATATAATTTGTTATTAGTTACCCATCAGAATGCAATGTGGAAGCACTTGTGCTGGTGAATATTCGGTTCCTTTACTTTTGCATTCCAGATATCTTAAGTGCAGTGTTATGAACCTCCACAGCATTAGCCTTGGACTTTTTTTTTTTTTTTTAATGAGGTACTTAGTCTAAACAGTGCTGATTATAGTGGCTTACTCTTTTATGCTGTTTTTACTATTGTTTTACTCAAACATAGGATAGAAAAAGATTATATTTTTTTTTCTTAATTTCATAGCAACAACAAATTTCTTTTGTGAGTAGTCAATTTTTCCATCTTGTCATGGTACTTCCAGTTCAAACTATGATTGGCATTAGAGACTTGTGGGGGCATGTGAAGATTCTGGCTGGATAGTTATCTCCTACATTAACACCAGCTCATAAAAATTCTAAACAATTTGTTGCAGCAGCAAGTTCAGATTAAAGGTGGGCCAGATCATGGTTTTGTTGTTTTATCATTATTCTGGAAATAATTTTTTTCTGAAATGATCCAAAATACACAATGATAAGGCAAGACTAGAGGGAAAAATGTGACAAGACTAAAAAGAGAACACTAACTCTGCTCAGGCATGCAAGAAAGAATGACCCAGAAGTTCTTAAACTGTTGTCCTGTGGCACAAGAGTAGGAGTATGAAAAAACAGGTGGGCAGTAGCTGAAGTCTGAAAATACATTCTTAAATCTGTTTTAATATTGCAGGACAAGCATTTGGAATCAGTTTGAGCTCCATTCCAAGCACTTAAAAATTGGTCTGAATTTGACGACAGATGGAATGAAGGATATAATCAGGACTTAAATATAAAGATGCAGTCCTTATCCTTAAGTTTTCTGCTCCTTTTGTCCTTGCATTACTTACAAACCTTCTCAGTCCTTAGAAGCAGTGACACTACTAGTGATTCTATTTGACAGTAGAGTAAGAGGGTATGACAGCTGCTGATCAGCTGCAGAGTGAGAGCAAATTCTTTCTGGCTTAATGTGTTCAAAAGGTATTTTACCTCATTAAAAAAGAAACAAACAAGACAAAAAAAATAACAAAACCAAACCAACACCTTAAGCCTAAAACCCCAAATCCATACTTCTGCCTGCAGACATTAGCAAAACTACTATTAAAGAAGTCAGTAGTCTTTTTTTGCAGTAGCCCCTAAGCATTGTGGCTCACGTAAGCTTTATTCAGAAGCCAAGTGAACAGTTGTTTCAATTAAAGGATTTAACATATAGTATTGGGAGACCAAGATTGCTGGACAAAAAAAGCTGTAAAGACCTGAATATAATCTGAAACTCTTCAGGAGGTTTCCATCCAGTATCTACTGAATACAGCATCCTCATAGCCTTGGCTATCTAATATCTTACAGGACATTAACTAAGATAGTGGCTTCCTGAACAGCCATAGTTTCAAAGATCTTGGAGAACAAATTCTGTGAGTTACTGAATTGACGTGGTGAGAATAAATGCAAGGCTTTTCTTCCCTTCACAGATAGAACTTTTTGAGTTCAAGGGAGAGGATCTCACTGATGATGAAGATGGTGGCATCATCCGAAGAATTCGTAAAAAAGGGGAAGGCTACTCCAAGCCCAATGAGGGTGCGCTTGTGGAGAGTAAGTACATTTCACAAATAGTAAATGGGTTTACCGTGTGGGAGGAAGAACCTTTTTGCCCAGTCTACAGCTCCTTGCCCTGAGAGAGGGGAATACATGTCTTCTCTTTCCTTTACCAAGTGACTTAACCTAGAGTAAACTTTAATTGTGTTATTTCTGGTGAGGTTTACATTTTCCATCAGCAATTGTGTTCTCCAGAGATACTGAATCTGATAAAGTGCTTATCTCATCACAAAAGGTAGATGAGTATTGCCGAGTAAGAAGGAGGGAAGTAGTTCTGTCATTTGTTGGAGTGCAAAAAAAAAAATTAAATATAGGTGAACAAAAGAAATTGTTTAAGTTTAGCAGCAGAAGTTCTGTTTACTGCCAGTGGCCACCATGCATAGGTAGCTGTTGAAAGAGACTGTTTAGGAGGAGGCTTTGGCACTGCGCTACCTGCCCCATAGATATATTCTGATTTTTCTCTGGCTTGTTCTGTTTTTTCATTACCAGTCCAGTTCGAAGGCCGATATGGAGATCGTGTTTTTGACAGGCGGGAATTGCGGTTTGAGATTGGAGAAGGTGACCACTATGATCTTCCTCATGGTCTGGAGAAAGCTATTCAAAAAATGGAGAAATCAGAGGAATCTGTGTTCTATCTCAAACCCAGGTATGTTCTTCTAGATCTTTTGAGGGCTTATACTAAGCATCTGGCAAGAATTAAATGTTTTATTATAGTACCTTTCAGCTTTTTTCAGTGCTGTAGTAAATACCTGATCAGGCCCAAAAGTTTGATTTATGCCACTTAGTTGTGAAGTAGTAGCACTCCAAAAGAAATGTACTGAAGTCTCTATAGTGTTGATCTCTGAATATTTAAAAAAAAAAAAATTGTTGCTCTCTGACCTATGTTTTTTTTGGTCCCAAAACAGTACTTACTGTACAGCATTGCATATAAAGATACCTGAAGAACAGCCTCAGAATAGGAAGAGAGCTGATGAGCCTTCTGAGCAGCTGATGTGACCAGATAGCTAGTCCTTAGGTGATGTAGTTATTAGAGTATCAAAAATCCTTTGTTGGTATAAAATGTTCACTGGTATTTTGAAACCCTTTTGGAAAAAGACCTTCAAGGTTCCTGTGAGATACAAGGTAAAGTTATATCCAAACCTTGGACCGTTATGACAACTCCCTGAGACTAGGAGGAGCTAACTGAAGTGCATGACTGCCCAATATTGTAACCTTAAAGAGCCCTGGATATAAGCGGAATTTTCTCTTTACAGCGATAACACATCTGAAACAAGTGGAGTCTGCACTGATTGTTTCCATCAAACTCCATTTCAGTTTTCATTTTAAGTTTTTTAAACTGGAACTGAATCTGATGGGAGAAGAAAAGCAAAGCAGTCTGATCTTGAGGGCTTTTCTGCTAATATGCAGCTTCTTCCTGGAGTTGTAGCACAGAACCTTTCTATATAGGCGTTTACTATTTGTCAGATGATAGGCAGTATGTTAAGTGTACAGCTCCTCACTTAATCTCTGTATTTATTGTTGTCTTTGCTTTTCTGAGAATAGTACTAAAATAGAGGTTCTCTGAAGGAAACATTCAGTCTTAGACCATGAATCTAAAGCAAGATGTGTATAACTTGAAAGTTTGAGGGTTTTTTCCTTGGTGGAGACATAACTTGCTTTTCTTTCACATTAAGCTAAGAAAAAAAGAAAAAAAGAATAGGACTGGTAACATAGTGATTAGCAAAATTAACCTCAGGTGTCTCCACCTTTCTTCTACCTCGTGCTTGCTAATTTTAGAATAGTACCCAGAATTCTTCAAGTCTTTCTGTCTTGTAATAATGCTATGTAGGCATCCCAGATTTGCATGGGGGTTTTGCCTCATTTCCTATGTAGCAAATATGGCTGGATGGATAGTTTTGAAACTCTTGTTTCTTTTCCTCCCTCCACACCCCCAATCTTACAGCTATGGTTTTGGAAGTGCTGGGAAGGAGAAATTTCAGATCCCTCCAGATGCAGAACTACAGTATGAAGTGAAACTCAAAAGCTTTGAAAAGGTAGGAATGAGAGATGAAGTCAGGGAAGAAGTATGAGTGCATCTTAAACAAGGATTGCGAAATCCTTGAGTGTTGATATGAAATAGAGAAGTCACTGTTGTCAAAGATGATGACATGTTGAGAGGTCTTGTCTGAGATTGTCCTTGTTCTTACTGTATCACTGTCTGTTGCTGTCAGTGTCTCTGCTGCTGCAGCCCAGTTACCAGTAGTGGTGCAAAACTCTGCTTTGCCAAACCTATCTTTACCATACTGTTAGTGGGAAGAAACATAGCCACATGGTTTCCCCAGAAGTTGTATCATTGGCTTGAACTGTTTCCTGTTTGGGTAGGCTAAGGAGTCTTGGGAAATGAACACAGATGAGAAGCTGGAACAAAGCTGCATTGTGAAGGAGAGAGGCACTCACTACTTCAAGGTAAATTACAGTCTCCAAGTAATAACAGCATTTCTTAGTCCATGTTATGAACGGATAATGATGATTACAGCTGCTGTCATTTCAGAGTGGTGTTCACGGTATTTTCTGCGATGTTTTACAGGGAGGACTGGAGGGGAAGAAGGTGCCTTTAGAAAAGAAAGCCTCAGAGTTGGAATAGCCAAATAACAAACTTGGCAGGGAGTTAGTTCTACGTTGGAGCTGTTTGCTATACCTACAAATAACTTTGGGGCATACGTGGAATAGTAGCAAGGTTACAGTTCCTGCTGTGGAATAGTGCTGTGAATGAACAACACTCATTTGGGTAGATATGTGTGGACAAGCTGTTTCAAACAATTTGACCACCTTAAGGCAGACTTTCCCATTATCTTCACGACAAAGCAATACTTGTGCTGTTTTGATCTTCCTTGTATTGTATCAAAAGTTGAATGTAAGGTGGTAGTTAAGAGTGCAGTACCAATGCTGGCCTATACCCCTAGCTGTAGTGGGGGAACCAGTTATTCCTAAAGATTCTCTGGTCCTATGCAGGAATGACTTTCAGAAGTAGTGTATTTTTGAGAGAAGTTATTTTCTGATTGAATTCTTTTTTCAGATCTCTTGCTCAAGGTAAGCAGAAGGGGCAAGGAGATAAAAATTACTGTGATGAGCTGTGTGATAATTAACTGCCTTGTTTACAGGAGGGGAAATACAAGCGAGCAGCCTTACAATATAAAAAGATTGTGTCATGGCTGGAGCATGAATCGGGACTCTCCGATGAGGAAGATACAAAAGCCAAAAGCTTGAGGCTTGCTGCCCACCTTAATCTAGCTATGTGCCATCTCAAGCTGAAGGAATATTCCCAGGCTTTGGAGAACTGCAACAAGGTAGTAGGGGTTTATTTACTCTTAAGCTGCACAAGCAATCTGACAGTTTATCTCTTGCTTTAACAGTTTGAGGGATAGCAGGCCATATGGTGCCTGACCCTTCTTATCAGCTGGCAGTTGGGTAGTACTGAATGCACGATGTAAAAATATTCAACAGGTTATTTTCATAGTTACTCTGCTTTGAATATCTTTTACTAACTTGCTGCTACATTGAGAATATTCAAGTATTTAGAAACTGGAAACACTTGATGTGATGAAGGTAATCATGTTGGCAGATGTTCTTCAGAGAGCTGAAATAGAGCCAGGACTAAATTTTAGACTTCTTGGTTCTCTGTCAAATAGTTTACCATATTCAGTACTACTTTGTACTTCTACTGTATTCAACTCACCTTATTAGTAAGCTCTGACAGGACTCAAATCTGTATCAGAAGGTACAGTTCTGGCAGTCTCTTGTGTCCTGACTGCATGTTATTTTTAAAAAAGAAATTATTATTGAATATGGGTTTGATTTGGTTTTTAATGCAGGCACTCGAATTGGATAGCAACAATGAAAAAGGCCTCTTCCGGCGTGGAGAAGCGCACTTGGCTGTCAATGACTTTGAATTGGCGCGGGGAGATTTCCAGAAAGTGATACAACTTTATCCAAGTAACAAAGCTGCCAAAGTGCAACTGGTAACTTGTCAGCAAAAAATACGGGAGCAACATGAGAAAGAGAAAAAGATGTATGCCAACATGTTCCAAAGGCTTGCAGACAAAGACTTAAAGGTAAGTAACTCTACTCCAGAAGACTTCAAGAGGTGGTGTCACGTGTTAGCCAAGGAATAGTGTGTCAGATACTCAGCTTACTTCTTAGTACAGATAGATATAGTGGGAGAACACTCAGGTAGGTTCCTCTGGGGAAAATGGAAATGGCTAACAGTCAAGATGATTAGGTCATCTTCTTTGAACAAGACAACTAGCAGTACTAAGCATTGCACAGAACACTTATTCCAACCAATTTTGCAACAGACCAGTGTTAATCGGAAAGCAACTGAAGTGATGAGATGCAAATTTGATAACGTTTGAGAACTGAAAAAAGTGTCTATTTTCCTTGAACTGATTGTTCTAAAGAGTCTGCTCTGGTGCTTGGATGGCTTGTCTACTGAGACCTTATGTATTGTACAGATGGTGCTGAACACCATCTTGCTTCTCATGGAAACATTAAGATGTGGTTGATGTTCTCCATCTCAGATGTTGCAGATTGATTATGAAGTGTCAGAATTCAGGCTGTCAGAAGATTCATTCTACTGTATGGGTAGTTCTCCTACTAAGCTTTCACTAGAATTTTAGTAAATACCAGTTCAGTTAACAACTGCACTATTTGAATATAGGTTATAACAAGGTTGTGTCAGCTTGCAAGAAACATTAAAAGTTATTGGTGAGAATCACATATCCTAACAAAATGTTCTGTTTATTTTCCTTAAATCTAACGGTCCAGAAGGACTAGGTAAACTTGTAACTTCAAGATAAATTTGGGATTTATATCAGACTTAGATGTTCTCAGTAGCATTGGGGAGTGCAGAAGCTTGCATCTTGTTGAGGTTATTTTCACTGATCTTTGTGTTCACCTTTCCAGAATATGCATGGGGAATCTTAAAAAACTGTTAGATATTGGTATGTCAATTTCCTGTGGTTAACTCTGTCAGTGAGTCTTCAGATGAGTGTATGTATCCTGGCAATTCAGCCATCTCAGACTGTCAGCTGACAGTGCTACATGAAACATTTCAGAAACCTCTCTTTTTCTTCCCTTTCCCCAGACTTTCAAAATGAGATATAATTGAAATCAATTAATCTCCCAGAGACAATGGGAGATGGATTCCACTCTTCATCTTACTATGTTATAGTAGTCATATAGTAAGCATAGGGTAGTCACCCCTAACTGGATGGTTGGGTGGGCAGACTGTTCTGTTTGTAGCTTTTTGGTTGTGGGTTTGTTTTTGTTTTTCTCTTTAAAGAGTAGCAGTAGTTCTGTGATTTTGGTTCTGCTTCTCATGGAGGAGTGTAAACTAACACATAAATGCAGACATTCCCCAGTGATTCTGCAAGGACAGTGTCATTGTCCGTATATTTATGTATGTTGTTAAAGCAGCCTGATGTCAACAGTCATTCCTTATTGGAGCCTGGAAGAAAGTATTCTGTCCTTTTAGACATTGTCACATATAGTAACTCAGTAACTCAATTTTCGGTAGGCTTTAATGAAAAAATCTCAGGAAGATAAAGATACAGCAACCAAACTAGAATTATTCACTACTGGCCATCTTCATTTTAGAAATTGCAGGTTCTGCTGTGCAGGTTCCTTTCAGCTAGCACAGCTGCTGGGAATCTGGCTTCTTCTGCTAGGTGTGGGACACAGCAAGATCTGCTGTTCAGGGAGGAAGAGTGGATTGCTGAAACAAGCTATACCCACTAAAGGTGTGAAAGGGCTGCCTTTGTGCTTTTCAAAATGTATACCTCAGCCCCTAAGACAAACAGTTGGTACAGTCGTATTCGTGGCAGAAGGCAGACTCACAGTCTACATTACAGACTGGGATACGGCAAAGATATGGCACTTAATTCCAGTTTTCCCATCTACTTCAGATAGAATCAGCGTATAGAGTCATAGAATCATTTAGGTTGGAAAGACCCTTAAGATTCAGTCCAACCACTAACCAACACTACCAAGTCAACCACCAAACCGTTACTCTTAAGCACCATGTCTACATGTCTTTTAAATACCTCTAGGGATGGTGACTCAACCACTTCCCTGGGCAGCCTGCTCTAGTACTTGATAATCCTTTCGGTGAAGAAATTTTTCCTAATGTCCAATCTAAACCTTCCCTGGTGTAACTTGAGGCCATTTTTTCTTGTCTTATCACTTGCTACTTGGGAAAGGAGATCAACACACACCTTGCTACAACCTCCTTTCAGGCAGTTGTAGTGTGATAAGGTCTTCCCTGAGCCTCCTTTTCTTCAGGCTAAACAACCCCAGTTCCCTCAGTTGCTCCTTATAAGACTTACTCTCTAGACCCTTTACCGGCCTTGTTGCCCTTCTTTATACACACCAGCAAATGTCTTTATTGCAGTGAGGAGTCCAAAACTGAACACAGTATTTCAGGTGTGGCCTCACCAGTGCTGGATACAAGGGGAGAACCACTTCCCTAGTCCTGCTGGCCACACTATTTCTGATACAGGCCAGGATGCTATTGTTCTGGTTCGTTCTTATCAATAATTAGATGATCTTGGGAATATGCATGTTTACACTGTGTTTTCTTGGAGCTATCTGGCATACTTCAGTTGATGTGGTTTTATATGAAAAAGGATTGATGGAATATGGAACTGTAAGCAAAGGACGTTTACTCCCCAGATCCCTTTTGGGATTTCTTTTCTTGCAGGAAAACATGTTTTCCTATTAATTTATTACATTGCTTTACTCTAGCTCCAGCAGTTTCTCTGTTAGTGGTGGTGGGAGAAGTTCAAGAGTTGTGGAGAAGAGGTTTGTTTACCAAATGTCTTCTGATTGCTAAGAAGGCAGTTTGGAGTATAGTTCTGAAATTCCTGACATCTGTGTATCTTTCAGTCTGTTGAAACTCAACAGCCACTCTTGCATCAGTAGTTCTTTTCATGAATTTGAATAGTTCACATAAAGTGTGAAATTTTAAAGGTTAGGATGTTTATCACCTTATCTTAAGCCCAGGATTGCTAGCTATCAGATTTTCTGTGGAGAGGAGACTGTGGTCATGTGTTTCACAGAATGCTTCGAAGGATGAAAGGTTGACCTTTGATGCCTGGATGTTCTTTGTCTGTGGTTTCTGTTGGAGCTAAGTTGATGTAACATTTTAGTTTAAGGATTCTGTCCCTATTCCCCTCCCCCAACAGTGCATGCTTATATCCTTGTTCCTGTTTGATTCTCATCTAACCTCATAATAAAATAAATGGTTCAGGGTGCTAGGCTGGCAGGTGGAATAGTAATTCCATTCCACTGTCTTGAGATGAGCAGAGCAAGATGTTTCTACCTCCCTTTACTGTGTTTGAAAGTTATTGCAAGGTCAGGACAAGTGGTCATGTCCTATTGTAAAAACTGACCTTGGACTCTTACTCTGTGGCATTCTGTCTTCCACGCCTTTTTATGTGGACTGGAAGATAGAGCAAGGAGAGGGCTTTTAGAGCAGCTATCTTGTCAAATTAGATTTTCTTCCAGCTAAGCTCTTACAGAGGACATCCAAGTGACTGTTGTCAAACTGAAGTCACTATCCATGAAACTAGTTGCCCAGCAAAGATATGTCTTTGTATCTTGAGTCCAAGTGTGCCTCATACAAGCTGGGGGTGGGATCACTGTATGGGCATTGTTGAAATTGAATCACATTGAAATGGAAGCAGGATGAAAGCAGTTCTGTACAGAAGCTTCCTAAATGAATTTCAGTTTGTGGAAGAATGCTGTAAGGAAGTGTTATGTGGCAAGTGTGCGCACACTACATTATGAATCGTAACTATCTAACATCAGTATATTTCTCAGCCTCCTCTAAACTGCTTCTGGTTTCTTAGATGCAGAAAAAAAACCTCAAAATTTCTTTGCATTTCTCTTGGGTGAAGGTCCTAATATCTTAATTCAGTCTTGCAGGGAGACCAGGTATCCTAGTGATAAGAATCAAATAATGTTTGTGGTATTGTTTGCAAATACTAGTAATTTTGTATAACAAACGAATATATTTTATTTGTCTCTCTCTTTAGTCAGCTGCTACTCTTCAAACCAGCCACACCGAAGATGCAGAAATGAAAGATGAGCAGAATGGAGTTGGAGATGAATCGGAAGTTGACACAGAAGCATAAAAACCCTATTCCATTAGTTTTGTAAATGAAAATTTCCAGTGAATTAGACCTTTATTTTTCTACCTGGTTGGACAGTGGCTTCAGGGGGGCAGAGGCTGAAGCCACCATCCCACAGTTGGTTACAGCTTTATATGTCTGAAGCTGAGTGGCAGCATAAATCTGGTTTAATCCTAGGGACTATTTATTCATTTGGACTCTGTTACTGGTTGGGTTCTGCCTGGATTTATTCTACGTGGTTTATTTGCATTTTGCCATTGGTGTTTGTCCTCTCGTTCCAGCTCACTTTAGTCCCAGGTTCTGCTTCCTAAATTTAGTTCCTTGATTTCTTTCAAGTAATTGGCCTTGCCCCAGGAGTCCTTACATGAGACTTGAGAACAAATTGGTACTCCCAGTTCTGCTTTGGGATTGCCCTGTTCCCCACCCTGTTCAGTAGGGAGTCCCTTCCATTAAGCGTTGTAACCTTTCTTGTATGCCTGCTCTTTGCAAATTGCTGAAGGTGAAGACTGTGAAGTCACAGCTTAAGTAATAAAGCTCCAGTTAGCCCACAAAAAGTTGTTTTCTTGAGTTTTTTAATGGAATTTGCACAGAATTAAGAGAACATGCTGTCTTTCAGCCATTCATCATTTTCTCATCCACACAGCTGTACAGTAGTCACGGTATCTGATCTGTTTTACTGTATTGTTTGTTCATTGCCATAGAACATTCCCACAGTAATTGATACAGTATTTACCCATTTGCAAAAGGAAAAAATATGTTGTTGAAAATTGTACAAAAAGCAAGTCTGCAACCTATGCATAGAGCTTATATTCTGTTCATTATTGCTGCCTTCCTCTTGATCCTCCACACTGTAAAACTGGTCCAGAAAACACCCATTTATTTGTACCTGAAAATGACTGGCTTTGAAGAGAAAATAAGTGATAATGGTTTAGCATATTACAAATACTCATAAATCCTAATGAACTACAACCTTCTGAGTGATTCTAATGTCTGCTTATCCCCATCTCACAAAGAAGCTATTCTGCTTCTTTCTGCAGTATGTTTTATGTCTTGGAGGGGGTGTGGGTGTGTGGGCTCTTTGTTGGGGTGGCTTTTTTGTTTGTCTGCAGTATTCAACATGGTACTCAAACTCACCTTCTGTTTATCCTGTTAAGTAGTGTTAACAGGACAGTGGAGATGCTGAGTTTCTGAGACTAGCAACAGGGATCCTTTGCCTGCTCTGCAGGAGGAAGGTAGATAATCTATTCCTTTCAGATAGAAAAATGGATTTTTTTTTTGCAGTGAGAAAGATGTCTTTGCATGGCATGGGCTGGAATTGTATGTATATTGCTGACATTTGAAATCTTAGCAGAGGAGACCATAAATTAAGACAGAAGTACCGTACAAGAACTTACTCAGGGGGTTCTTGCAGGGAGGTTGTCAGTACTGGCCCCTGCAGGAGTGCCAACTTGAGCCTGGTAGCTGTATAAATGAACTGTCACTGGAGTGGTATGGCCAGCGTGACACCGTCCTGCCCCCAGACCCAAGACAAGAAGCTCACCAGCTGCTGCTGGGTTGCAGCTGGCACAGGGAGCTGCAAACTGCTTGGCTCTGCATGGTGTAGCAGTGGCTTAAGCTCCTGTGGGGTGGGGGAAGGATAAAAGAAGAGGCAGGATAAAGTGCTCGGTAGGCCACAACGTTTAAGGAAATGTTGATTGCTTAGTAAAATTGTAGTGTTGCCAGGTAATGCAGGTGCTTTCAGCCCTGGGTATGTGAAAGTCGTTTCACCTTGTACCAAAGCACGACTACGTCTGAGGGGAACGATGCAGGCAAGTTACAGCAAGGGGTGAAGGATGTCAGGTGGAAGTTACAAGAGGGAATTTCCAGACATGGAAGAACAGTAAAGGGAGGGGGAATGCCAAGCAAGAGTTCTTTTTCTCCAGCAAGGAAATACCTTGATTTGTTGGGAACTGTTTCTGGAAATAAATCACTGGCAGGCCGGCTCTGCCCGCCGGTCCTGCTGGGCAAGCGGCAGCCGGGGCGCCGAGCCTGCGGCACCGCCTGCCACCGGGTAACGGGGAAAGCGGCCGGGCCCCCGCCGGGGCGGGCGACGGGCAGAGCGGCCGCAGGCCCGGCTGCCCGGAGCGGGAAGGCCGAGGCGTGTTTCCCAACCCAGAGCGTGAGGCGGCTGCGCGCGCCTCGCGCCAGCATTCGCGGCTGCCGGGCGCCCCCGCGGGGCCGGGCCCCGGGCCGCTCCCCCCCCCGCAGGCCCGCGGCTGCCGCCGGGAGCCGGGGGCGGGGCGCCCCGCGCCCGGGGGCGGTCACGCGGTAGCGTCGTGACGGGAGCGCGGCGCCGCCAGCCGGGCCTGCCGGGAGCCTCCCGCCCCGCCCCGCCCCGCCCCGCCCTTGCGTGACCCCCGGCTCGCCCTCTCCCCTCTCTCCCCCGTTTCCCCCTTTTACTCTCCCGTCTCCCCCCCCCCCCCCCCCTCGCTCGTGAGCGCGCTCCGCGACCCGGCTGTATTTGTACCTGCAGAGCCGCCGTCGTCCCGGCCCGGCGACGGGAGCTCCGGCCTTTTGCGGGCAGTCGGCGGCGGCGGGATGCGATCCGTCAGCTACGTGCAGCGCGTGGCGCTCGACTTCGGCGGCAGCCTCTTCCCTCACGCCATCTGCCTGGGGGACGCTGACAATGACACGGTCCGGAGGCGGGGGGCGGCGGTGGCCCCGGGGGCAGGCCCTGCCCCGTCGCGGGGTTCGGGTGGGCCTGTGGCAGTCGGCCGCGGGAGGTGGTGCTTCTGCGGGCGGAGTGCTGGGCCCGGTTTCAGCGGCCGGCTGGAGCGAGCCCAGCAGCGGGCCGCCGCGGTGCCCGGGGAGGTTCGCCACGCGCGGAGTGTGCGAGGCGAGGTAGCCGGGCTCGGTCGGCCTGGGGGGCGCCCGGAGGCGCCCCAGAGTTGTCCGCACCTGCCACCCGGCCGCTCAGAGACGGGCAGCTGCAGGGCAAGGGACAGCAGTCGCGGGTGGTAGCAAAGGAGGGTCAAACGGGGTCGGGGGAAAGCACCAAGAGGATGGGGCAGCACCAAAGTAGGTGCCTGGAGGAGGTGGTGGGGCTTCCACCCTTGGGGGACTTGGAGCTTGATGGGCACTTGAGCAGTGCCAGAGGAGCAGGGGTTGGCCCCCAGAGGTTCCTTGCAAACTGAATGTTTCGGTGATTCAGGGCTGCAGCTAGTCAGTGCTTCCATCACTGTTAGGCATGCTAGGAACCCTTGGCGTGGGCCCTGGATGATGTGTAGCTACTAGGGAGATTAACTTTTGGTCCCAAAGAAAGACACTATCCTCTTGCCTGTGGTGGGGATGTAGAGGTGTGGGGAAACACTTGGCTGGGGCACAGTGGATCACAAACAGGGTAGAGCCAAGTATCAATGTCTCTTGACCTGTATGATGGATGGGTGTGCATCAGGAATGTTGCTATCGTCCCTAGAAATGGTTGTTTCTGATGGGTCTGATTTGTCTGTAACTAGCAAGAGGTTAGATTAACCTCTCCCTTCTCCTTAAAGGTCAAATTTTATTACAGCCCTATCCTGCTATCCTGAAAAGTGTTATGGCTGGCAATGCAGCAGATGATAAATTTTCCCATTAGAAGTTCTGTTATGTGGGGTAACGTATGCAGGGAGTTATGAAATACATACAATTCAAATGCACAGGGGCATGATGCAGAAGATGGCATAGTAGGAGTAGGCCCATCAGCAGGGATGGTCGGTGATTTTTAGCAGTCTTCTTTAAAGAAATAATCACCATTCAGAAAGACCTTTACCCCTTCGTCAGTGAGATTGAACATCCAGTGTAAATCTGTTGTACATGTTTTTGCACCTTCTTTCTGGATGATTACATTTTCCTCATTGCCATCATCTTAACCTCTGGTTATTCCAGAAAGATCAAGTCAATCTAGATTGAAGGATGGAAGATGGAGAGATGATGATGATTATTAGCAGTGCAGAATGTTAAAACCGTCAGTGACACAACTCTGAAACAATGGCTGGAGAAGCAGTGGATAATGGAATGTTGCTCTGAGGAGCTACTCTCTAGCTCTTCCAGCTGCGAGAGTAAAATTAAGGCTTTTGTTTTTTTCTCAGACCATCTCTATTGATTCAAGGCTGTCTTTTTAACTCTTGTTTTGCTTGCTGCTCCTTCCTACAGAGTGATTTTCAGATACAAATTCTGTAATTATTGCTGTGTGGGAATACTGTTACTGTAATTGTGAATTTCTTCTTACTAACTCAATTCTCTTATACAGCTGAATGAGCTAGTGGTGGGAGACACCAATGGGAAACTCCATGTTTACAAGAATGATGACAGCAAACCCTGGGCTGTGCGATCTTGCCAAGGAATGGTCAGTTATTGACAAAATTTTTAAATGGTTGAGCCTTTTGGTGTACCTGCAGCCAGCTACTCTTGACCACTGCCTAGGAATATGTAAGCCAGAGGGGAATGGCAGCTAGAACTCGTTCTAATGCCTTTCACGTAGTTATGCAAGGCCTTGCTTTTGCCCACAGCTAGCCCCATGGGCTGGAGGTGATGAGCAAAGTACTGAACAAACACCGGAACTGGGCTTCTGTCCCACCTTGACCGTGCTCATGTGCACTGTGGATTTTGCTCCAGGGCTCTGGGCAGTTGTGTGGCAGATGCATTTCTGTCCCTGACTGTGCTCTCTTTGTCCTTGAAAAGGCTGTTTGGAGTTCAAGAGACGGTTTATGAAACGAGGGGGTAGGGCAGAGGCTTAACCCAAGGTGCTGTTTTGGGTTGCTTTCTCTCATGTATGGCCTTCTTTTCTATTGCAGCTCACATGTGTTGGCGTGGGAGATGTATGCAATAAAGGAAAGGTGAGAGCAGCCAAACTCTTCCCAGCTGTGTCTGTAGGGCATATGGGAGGTCCTTAGGAGATTAGGGTCATGTCATATCCTGAGTGTGGAGGAAAACAGGTTGCAGGTGCTTTTTCTCCAGGATCTGCCCTTGCTCATAGAGTTTTAGTGGTACTGCTTTAAAACCGTTCTTCTGTTTACATATAAACTGTATCTTTCTGTGAGCCATATGCAGGTTTTAGTGAGCAAGGAAATCTATCCTATCTTCAGAAAACACTATTGGTTTCTATGTCCACCTGTGTGAGTGCCACAAAGCTTTGGTGGTTTGAGGGTTGCTTCATTTCCTCAGTGTCTTTTGCCCTGCTCTGTGCTGGTCCCTGCTGTGGGCCATTGCTCTTCTGCCAGTTGGCTGTGTGCATTTAAGGTCATCTAAACAAGACTGAGCCACATGACAATCTAGGCTCCCAAGCAAATTCCACTGGATCTAATATGACTCCCTTTGCTGGATTGCTATTTCTGGGGGTTCAGCCAAGACCACCGAGTCCAAAAGTCCCAGTTCAGGCAGCTTGCCTAAAATACTGTGGCTATGTGTGCTCCAGTGGGGAGCAGAGCTGAAGTAAGCATTGAGCAAGCCACACTTTGGGGATTGCATGTACACATCAGCTTGATATCCTAGTCTGAGAAGGATGAACAAGAAGTTTGTATCCTGCAGTACCTGAGTAGTTTGTATGCTGATGAAAAACCTTTTTCCTCTTCCCTCTGTAGCAGTCATTGATCTTGATGGGTCTACCCTTGTATCTTTCCTTGCTCTGCTGTGGGATAATTTCTGCAGTATCTAAAAGAGGAAAAATCAAAAGGTTTTTATCCTCCCTCCTAGAATTTTGTGGTGGCTGTGAGCGCAGAAGGCTGGTTTCACCTTTTTGACCTGACTTCAACATCAAAACACCCGGACACTTCAGGTCACCATGAGCTGGCAGCAGCAGAAGAGCAGAAGCCAGTATTCAAGCAGCACATTCCTGCCAACACAAAGGTCATGCTGATCAATGACATTGGTGAGCTGGGAAGCTGGTGTGGAAATACGGGGTGAGAGAGTTTGTGGGTATGAGGTAGTTGAGAGAGAGAGAAAGTGTGTGGGACTCACAGAAGGAAATTACTATCCTGCTGAAACAGGTGCTCTAACTAACCACAGCCAAGTCATGGAGCAGAGAAGCAAGAACTTCAGGAATTTTCCTGAAGTGCAAGTTCTCATTGCAGGATTAGGATTCTCGGGGATGCTACCTGATGGAAACCAGCACAGTGTTTTTTGAATGCTGGGGCTCTCTGGGCTATGAAAGCCTGAGAGAGCCCATTTATCTCCTTGTATTCCCTGCAGATGGAGATGGAAAGTGTGAGTTGGTGGTGGGTTACACTGACAGGGTGGTACGTGCCTTCCGCTGGGAGGATTTGTCAGAGAATTCAGACCATGTCTCGGGGCAGCTGCTACTGCTGAAGAAATGGCTGCTAGAAGGTCAGGTAAGGAAACAGGACGTTCAGAGCAGAACTTGTCATACAGTCTTCAAGAGGTGTCTGTCCCAAGGGAAGAAACGTAAAATCTCAGTCCTACGAGCAAAGCAGTTGTCATATTGATGGCTTGAAAGGAGATTTGCTCAGTGGTCATCCTGTACATGTCGAGCAGCTGGTAGATTGGTCTGGGAAACAGTCAGTTGCTCTCATACAACTGGAGAGCATTAGTGGAAAAGACTGGCTCTTAGGTGGCTTTTGGTAGGGAAACACAACCTTTTACTGTAACTTGGACATTTTGCTTCTAGCTGATTTTGTTCAGCTTCTGCTCAGCTCTATCAGGAGATCTGCCATATTCAAATTTAGGTACGAAGAGTACACTGAACCCTTCTGAGGCATTTAAAGTTCTCAGTTTGACTTTACCCATGTTTTTCCTCTGTCAGTGTAGGTGGACAGCCTTTCTGTGAACCCAGGCCCTGATGGCTCACCGGAGATGATGGTGTCTCAGCCAGGCTGCGGTTATGCCATTCTGCTGTGCACCTGGGACTCTGAGCAGCAGGCCACAACAGAGGGAAGAGATGATTCTACCCCAAACAGGTGAAGAGCATTCCTGCATGGGGTAGATGAGGAGATTCTGCTGTGGATGTCTGTCACGAGGAGGCACCACCACACCACCTTTCTGAGGGCGGGGGAGCACTGTCATTTGTCCTTGCTTCAGTGGCCTGCTGTACTGGTCTGAGTTAATGCTCTCTTAAGCCCACCTGCACCCAGGCTTCCATGAACACTGCATGTCTCTATCACAAAGATGAATCCTACTGCTTTCCTTGTATCCCACTGTCTTCTTGAATTGGGCAAGGAGAGTGGCAAAACCAGCCCACTGAGGCCTAAGGCAGGGAAATGAGTGATCTAGATCTCCAAAGAGAGTAGTAGGCAATCTGATGACCTATCTACTGGTGGGAAGGGTAGCAACCGAAAGGCTGAAGTTAGTCTGAGGCCCAGGATGACGCTTTGGGTTCGTTCACTTGTTTCTTCCACATGAAGTAATTTGGAGGTTTTCCCAGTGACACCCCTGGCAGCCAGTGCTGTAGGTCACAACCAGAGCAATAGAGATGAGCAGTTGAGGTGATTGTCCTTGGTGCTGGAGGGACCCTCGTGGGGAGTTCATGTGCTTCTGTGGTATTCTGTGGGACATTAACGCAGACCCAGAAAACTGCAGCAGGAGGGGAGCTAGGCAAGTCTCCTTGATGTCTGAGTGGAATGGTACCCTCCTAGCCAGAAGCCAGGCCCAGGCATGATCTCTGACCAACCTGTCCAACCCTGGGCAGACACTTCCTGAGTGAAAAGCGGCCAGGCTTAGCTGACAGTAATGATAAAAATTGCCTTTTTTTCCTTGATTGGAATACATGTTTTACTGACTTTTTCATTTTTTTTCTTTTTTTCTTTGTGTTCTTTCCAGTTTTCTGGTGCATCAAATCATTCTGATTTTGTTTTTTAAACATTACAGAGTTCCTTTCATACCTGCAGTGGCATGCATTCTCTTCCTTGGTCTTTATCATTAAAGGGCTAACCTATCTATCACTGTCTGGATTTGTAGAGTTTTGGAGTACTCTGCTCTTCAGATTGTTCTGGCACAGTACCAGGCATGTTTCCCTAACCTTTCCCTGATGTCTGCCTCTTTTTTCCATAGTGATGCCCCTGTTCGAGATGTTATTCTACACCAAACATCTGGACGGATTCACAACAAGAATGTTTCCACTCATCTAATTGGTAGCATTGGCCGAGGTGAGAGATTAGGAGCTTGGGGTCTCTAGCCCAACAGTTGCCCTGGTAGTTTCTCATATACATCAGTCCAGTGTGAAATCAGATTTCCCATGGTTGGAAAAAAACAGTGGAAGACAGCTTGAAGAGCAGAGCAAACTTGGCTTCTGTTAGCCAGCTCCCAAAGAAAGACAGCTGGATATTTGCATTTGAACTTTTTATAGCATTTGTCCTTCCCTGGGTAGCTCTTACTCTTCACCTAGCACAACAGTTTCTCTGCAGTCTCCACTGGCCTGCATTTAGTCATCCTGAATGGCTGCCGTGCCTTGCTCCTACAGATGTCCTTGAGCTTTGCTTTTCAATGGCTGCAGTTTATGCCCTTTTCTTATTCCCTAGATGCATCTCTTCCTTTCCACAGCCTCATCTTTGTTCTTGCTTTTGTGCTATTGAGCATTTGATTCCCAATACCTGGCAACTATCTCCTGCTCTTCCTTCGCCTATGCAGTCCCAACCCCTCCAGAGCTGCTTCTGTATTTCATTTATATCACTGTCCTCTGTCTCCTTCCAATGTATTCTGTTCAGCTGTTGTGTCTAAACTCTCCAAAGCTGCTGGGTCATCTCAGCCCTGACACACTACTGTTGCATCCAGACTTTTCTTACACACTGCCACTGCTTCCCCTTTGTAACTGCTTTGTGCTCTGACCTGTGCACCATGTACCTGCTGAACCCTGTTTTGGTACCTATGGAGAATAAGCAGCTTTCACTCCCCCTTGGTGTGTGTGGACATAATACAAGAAGGCAGAAAATTCCCGATGCAGATTATCTTCTCTTGTCTGCAGCTGGCTGGAATCCAGCTGTGTTTGCTCTGTCCAAGTATTACCCACTGCAGTGCTGTCTGAGAATGATTTAGGTGGTCCAGTGTAATTAAAGCTGGGGGAGAAGGGCAATCCACTGAAACCTCCCCTCCTCCCCTTCCCCAGAGTACCCATTCTCCCCAGTTCCTAAGCTTGTCATGTTTTCAGTATCTTGGAGTACTATGAGTAACATGGTCAACAGAGCATAAAAATCAGTTCTTTCACTGCCTACAAAGCCTTGCATCTAATGAGAGGTGTCTGTGAAAAATGAAGGCACAGAGAATAAGGGATAACAAGAAGGTTGTGAAAAGCCCGCTGGTGCTGGACCATCAGTAATAAAACAGCTGAAGAGTGCCATGCTGATCAGTTTGTAAGGGAGACACAGCAGATCTTTTGGATCAGAGCCTGTCTGGATGAATGTCAGCTAGGAGCAATAGAGCACTCAACTAGCTAACTGTTTGCTTTAAGATGATGTGTGGAAATAAGGTAGTCGGTGTCCTGGGAGTGTGCAATGTGTTGTAGCTTGGAGCTGTCTATGGGCAGTGGAGGTAGGCTTGCAGTATTAGGTCATTCTGGGGAAACTGCCTATTTGCTTCCAGCTCTGCAAGCTTGTCCCAGACTGCCAAGTTTCCTGTGTTCCTGCAGACCTCAGGGAGCCAGTGTCTCTCCTACATTGTCACTGAAAGGATTAAATGCAGCTGTAGTTGAGGACAGCTCCAGTCATCCCCTGCCAAGTGTCATCACTTTCAAAATGTGACCTTGCATCTCTTTTCTGACTGGTAGCTAGGTGAAGAGTGTACTGAAGGGCAGAAGTAGCCTGCTGGTCAGGGTGGTCTCCTCTTCAGATTAAACCAGTCACATTTGTTAGTGCTGTCCTGCACACAACTGTGATACAGAGGCTTTGGAGAGGATACTACTTGCAGGAAGTTGACAGATGTATAAGCAAAACCCAGGAAAGCCAGGGCAGAGTGTGTAGATGAGCATGAGGGCACATGTCTGATCTGCTCATAAAGCAAGAGCTCTGTAGCATCTGACCCGTGTTTACTGGGAAAGGATCACCGCTTCTGTGCAGTTTTGCTGTAATGAAAACAATAGTCAGTAGCATGATCTCCACAGGCTCATTTAGGAGTTGCCATGGAGGTGCTTTTGTGCTAACATGACTGCTGCTTTGTCCTTCTGGCAGGACCTTGCTTTTTTAACCCTGCACCTTCCCAGAACAGCCAAAGGCCATGTTCCTGTCCTTGAAAGAAACAGTGAGGGTACAGTTGTAATACTCTTGTTTGCCTTCAGCTGTTCTTCACTTTGTCCCTTGTGATGGTCTTTTTGTGCTTGTGCATTTCTGGAACCTGGAGAGGATGTGATGTAGTCAGCTAAAATCAGAACTGCCTAGGGCCTGCAACAGACTTAGGAGCAGCCAGGAGAGCCAGACATGCTTAGATCAGTGCAAACCAAAGTTCTTGGGTTTTGAGATGCCAGTGCCCTACAAATAAAAGCCAGCATGAAGTACGATTGGTTCTAAGAATCTACAGATACCTGCTAAGCAAAGTGTCAAGGCTAGGCAAAAAAGGAGACAGGGTAGATCAGCTTGGTTTGGATCCTTTTTTTTTCATGAGGGGAGAGGGGACAACACTTCTAAGAAAGTGCCAACTTCTGTAATTCTCTTCTGTATTTACAGCCTGCTCCAGTGAGAATAGTGGCTCAGGTCTCTTTGCCCTCTGTACTCTGGATGGTAAGTCCTACCACTGTCCTGGAATAAAGGCCTGTGGGGTGGCCAAGGCCCGTCACTAATTCAAAGCAAGGGATCAGGGGCTCAGTGCTTTTGGTTTTGAAGGAAGGGGTAGCTGGGCCTCAGAAACACTTCCTGGGTCAGGCGAGAGAATTTGGCTCCTGCTGATATATTTTATATGAAGACATGAAAGGTAAGACAGGAGCCAAGGTAAAAGTTGTTCCTGTGAGCAAGTCCCCCATTAACCAGATGTGTGATAACATCTGTATCTGAGGATATGACCAACATAATAAAGGTGAGCCTGTCTTTCTGTTCCTTACTGAATTAGGTCTGATACTGCACAGGCTTGCTCTCTCCAGGAAACCTGTTGTGTTTCCTATCTGTAACTAATATCTGCCTTTCTCTCTTCCCTGGTACAGTATTCATCTGTGGATTTCAAAGCATTTTACATTAATTGCTTGTATGGTCCCATGGCCTATGAGGGTAGAAGTATTAAAGCAGCAAGCAGCTGGGAAAATGAAGAGGCTAGGTCATTGGCCCAAAGGCTGGAGGGCACTGTGAGGATAGATTCGTGTTTATGTTCTGCTCTCTCACAGCCACCCCCACCTAATACTATCACAGTATCTCTGGATGATAGAAAAATGGTATGTGAGATAAGTGTCCAGCATGGTTTTAGCGGCCAAGGAGCCATGCCTATGCTATTAGCCAGACATCTCTCAGCTCATACCTGTCAATATGCTGTCCTGAGATCACATGATCTGTGGGACATGGTGAGAAGTTCCTAATTTACTCATTGTCTCATGAGAGATCTGTTGATGTACTGTACTTTGGGAGCCTGCTTTGGGCAATTTTCCTCTTGTCTTAGAGCACAATCCAATTAGCGGGGCTGCTGCCATTTTTCCATCTCTGTTTCCAGTTACTGATGACAAGATAATGGACTGCTGTCCTTCCCAGAACTGAGACTGGGTTACTTGTTATCAAGCACAGCCTCCCAGTCTTCTGTGTGCAAACCCTAAGTGTTGAAGGAGTGTGCAGGGCCCAGCGTTAGCCTTGTTAAGTTGCTCCCTTTCAATATTTTCAAGTCAATCTTTATTACTTTTTTTTTTCCCCTTCAGGGACATTGAAACTCATGGAGGGAGCAGACAGGCTGCTCTGGTCTGTGCAGGTTGATCACCAGCTGTTTGCTCTGGAAAAGCTGGACGTTACTGTGAGTGTCTGTGAATGGGGCTGGGAGGGATAAAGACAAAATCTCAACATGGCTTTGTGTATATGAATTTAGGAAGGGCAGAGGGAGTATGACTCAGATGAAAAAGGCTGGGATTATCACAGGATGACACAGAGAGTGCTCTGACTGTGCTGGTGCATTCTGCACTCAGCCTGTCCACCTGCAAGATGTTGAGGTGTGTCCACCTGTTTGACCTAGTGAGGCTAGCATCCTGCTACAAACTTTTTCATGCCCCATCTGCTCTTTTATTGCAAAGTTGAATGGTTTTTCACACTGGTAATACCTCAATTGTCTACAAGCTCTTATAGATACTTAAGTATTACGATAGAGAAGAGAGAGATGGTCTCCAAGTGCAGAAAGACTGGACAAGTACAAAATGTCTGGACAAGATGTCCAAAAGTGACATCTTGTTCAGACGTTAGTGTTCTGTCTCTGAACAAGCAAGAAAAATTCTTGACTGCCTCTAGGAACAGTTGATGTATGTGCTAATATGAGATCTAATGGTTCCTGCAGGGCAATGGGCATGAGGAGGTGATTGCCTGTGCCTGGGATGGTCAGACATACATCATCGACCACAATCGGACTGTTGCCAGATTTCAAGCAGATGAGAATGTCAGTGCATTCTGTGCAGGTGAGGAGCCTGACTACAAAGCCAGCCCTGAGAGCATTTCTCCCTCAAAGCTACTACTCCGCTCTGGGAGACCTGGGATCCTTTGTTCATCTGTAGAGGGGAATAATTTCCCTGTATGTATACTGCAGAAGGTCCAGCTAGTCTTTCCTCTGGTGGCATCTGGGAAAAGTAGGGGTGAGAGGAGGTGATACTGAAGTTATTCTGTGTGTTTTGTTGTTTGTTTGGGGTTTTTTCCCCCTGCCCTTTTTGGGAGTGCTACAGTGGTCTCTTGTCTTCCCCACTGCTTTTTTGATTTGCAGACTTCTAAGCTCTTCTTAAGTGGAGATAAGGAGCCCCACAGAACCAGTCCAAGCCTTGACTTTGCTCAGTCCCCTCTCTCAGACCTGCAAGAAGCAGCTTGCAAATCCCCAAGCTCCATGTATTAATAACAGTTTAGAGACATTTTCTTGATTTATCTCAAAGGCACTTCATATATACCCAAGTCCATATCTGTATCTCTCACCTCAGGTGCTCATTGCTTTCTGCTAACAGCTTTGATACCTCGTTATGAGAAGTTACCAACTTGCTTTCTCTGCCCTTTTGGAAGTAGCCAGATCTCCACACTTTTGCTTTCTGCAGGCCTCTATGCATGCAAAGGAGGAAGCAACAGCCCCTGCCTGGTTTATGTCAGCTTCAGTCAGAAGATCTACATCTACTGGGATGTGCAGCTGGAGAGAATGGAGTCCACCAACCTGTTGAAAATCCTTGATTGTGACCCAGAGTTTGGAAATCTCCTGCAGCAGCTGGGTGTGGGTGAGTGCAGAAAGGGTGAAGGATGTATAGGAAAAAAGAGAGGAAGAGCTGCTGGTGATGTGCCAGGAGCTAGAGCTTCAGGTACTTGAGGCAGAGGGTTGCTCATACTGCCTGTTGAGAATCCCTAACAACTGTCTTTCTCTCTTTTGTGTAGAAAGAGGTGACGTTTCTGCTGTCAGAGACCTGATTCATAAAACGCTGTATTTTCCTGAGAAAGAGCAGCAGAGCAGCTCCTGGCAGTGTCAGGACCCTGCTGGAACAGACTCCTCTGCCCACTACACTGTAATACAGGATCCCTTATAACAAGCCACATGGAGGTTGACATCTTTAATGCCAGCACAAACTCTTCTCCAACTGGAATCAGTCATCTAATGAAGATGAGACTCTTCTTTTCCCATCTCTGTCAAAGCTTCCAGACAGCAAAGGGTGTATAGGCCAGGTTCTGTGGAGGGATGTGCTTGGCTGTAGGTTTGAGTGAAGGTGGGGGTGCTGTTCTGATTAGGATAGGAGCAGCAGGCTCACCTGCTGTTTTACATCTATTATCTTCTCTCGCTTGTGTGTTGTTTTATTGGACATGCGTAATTGCTGGAGCTGTCCCTTCACCCTTTTGGCAGTCCAAGAGGGTTGCATCCAAGACAGAGCAGATACAATTCAGTGAGCTCTCTTTAGCAGATGGTAACATCTAAAGATCCTGCAGCCTGGTGAAAACCTGCTGTGCTGTCCTCTTCAGGACATTCAAGGGCAGCCCTAACTGTGAGAAAGAGCTTCGTATAGAGGAAAAGAGTGTCTTGCCCTTGGGTCAAAAGGACTGTTTGTTGAGGTAGCCCTGTGTGGTAGAAGGGCAGATCTTTACATCATAAGCCCTAGCTTTTTTTGGCAGTTTCCATCTGTGGATTTATATAAGCTTTATAGAAGACAGCTTCTGTCCTCTATGTTTAACAGCTGTGAAAGTTGAAGCGTGGAGGAGCGAAATGGTATAATCTGCTCTCTGCCAGCTAGCACTCTTTTTGCATCTCAGACCATTCTGTCTTCTTACTCTGCAACTACAGTGGAAGCTTCTCCAAGTTAATGACCTCACTGAGAAGCATTTTTAAATATGCCCCTGTCATACTAAGTGCTTGTGTACAACTGGACCCTTCAGGCAGGAGCTCTCAAGTCGTAGTAGTACTTTAGTAACGGTGGTGTTCAGAGCAGCAGGGCTTGAGTTTGTCAGCTATGGAGAGCTGATAGTGTAGGGACCATCTACTGATGGGCTAGAGCAAATTGTCTTGAAGCTTATCAGCTCTGGACTGTAACCTTAAGGAATTGTCAGTTCTCATGATGCTGAGATGTACAGCCACCCATCCCCGTGGGCAGTCACCACTGCTTCTGGTAAATTACTTGTGACTCCTTGGGCTCTCATCAGGCTTATAGTTTGTTCTTAATGAGGGTGAGTCTTGGCGCTATTAACTAGATCACGGTATATTGGTTTCTTGCTACTTCCAGGTTTCTGTTTCCTAAAACCTAAAGCTGCTCTTTCTGATCACCAGAACATGTAAGGATTTTCCGTTCAGGTGAAGTAGTAGCAGTTTGCTACTTTTGTCTCATCCCCTTAGTGACCAGCTGAGCGGGGGAGAAGCAGATGTCCCTACAGGTGGGATGAACAATTTGGTTTCGCTGTGTTCTGTGCTACTTTCCACCTAGGCCTGTTGCTACCTGATTTTAATCTTGCCCTTCAAAGTTAATGGCCCTGACACAGAGAAGGACCGCAGCGGAGCAGGGCTCTGAGGAGCAGTCTCTGGAAGGTACAACACAAGTTACATTGGAGCAATGTCCCTGAACAGGCCTGTGCTTCGGTGTACACAGCTCTTCCAGCCTGAATACAGACTGCTGGTTTTCCTCTACTTAAGGCTCTGTATTTTCTTGTCCTGCTCCGCCCCTATCCCTCCCCCCCAGTTCTGTTGCTTCTGTCTACCCCACCAGAGACAGAAACAGGATGGTTACAAGCAACAGAAAATATTAATGCCTGAGTTTTCAACCATGGCTCAGGCAACCTGGCATGTGTACTGTTGCACACATGATGGGCTTTCCTGCTGTGTGTGCTTTGACAAAAACAGATGGAGTCCTGCCACCACTTGTGCCTGCCATGGCCCCAGTCGATGTTGTTTGGGTTTGGTGGGGCAGGTGTTCTTCAAAGAAGTACTACTCCCTTGGTCCACTGCTGGGACCCCAGAGTTTCCTGCAGCAATTGCCTGAAGCATTTGATTTGCCTGAGAGTTGGGCCAGGCTGAGCTAACCTGGCAGCTGAGTCTTACAGGCTGTTGCGTTGCTGCCATATTGTAACTTCTTCTCGAGGCCTAACAGGAAAACAGGATTGTCTGCACTCAGAACAGAACACAACTCAATGCTGTCCATCCATGCCAAATATAAACCTTTATTAGCAACACAAGCACGAGGGGGATACAAATGGTTGTATGACAAACTGTTTTATGCAAAACAAACTTTGCCATAGAGGTCAAATGACTTCCAGGGAAGGAAGGTCAAATTGATTCACTGTTGGACTGTTAATTGTTGGGAAGAAACAGGAAAGGGTTAACTGGGGAGAGATGACATTTTCCCAAGAATCATCTTTAAAAGAAAATGGGTCAAAACCAATGCAAATGTTGGACAGGGCAACCAGAAGTTGTTCTGTTCCATGCAGCAGAAAAGGTTTGATGCATCTTACTCTGTAGCAGGTTGGTGTACCCACTGGTGCCAGGAAGGTTTTCAACAGGACAGGTTTTGCAGGATGCATTCGTATGTCTTGGTGCCAGCACACAGCAAGTGAGGCGTCTAACAGCATTTGCAGGCACTGGGGGCATTTGCAGATAAATGATTCATGGCTTTGGTTGTGACACTCAATTTACCTGCAAGGAAGGAGGCGGTTGCTTTATTTTCCTGAGACAATAAATGCCCTGGCCTCACTTCTATGACCGCTGAATGTAATTTTTTTCTGTAACTCTTTAGGTATATATCCTGGAATTTGCCAGAGGAGCCTCTTGAAGGGAGGACTGACACTGACTGCAAGCATTTGTAGGTGGCTCAGTGGTCTTTAGTTCCATAACTCGCCCACTAGTGAAATAAAGAGCAGGCCTCTGGGAATATGGGTGGCTGGAGTGCCCATGCCATTTAAAACCACATGACCCCAAGCTCCTGAAAATGGCCCTGATAATGGCTTCAGCAGAGTGCGTGTTCTTGGGACACGGTTATCTCTTGCACATAGGCCTTGGAAGGGCCCTCGGAGGTCCATCTCCGCATCCCTGGGCGGGTTCAGCCGTACGTATCTCACACCTGCCACGTAACGCTTCTCTGCTCCAGAGACTTGCTGTGACAGACACTTCCCTGCAGACTGTTTCACAGCTGTCATAGCCACTCTACTGGAAAGTGGCCCTAGTAGGACCTGACCACCACGGTGGTTCAGAAAGGTTATCCCTAAAATAACATTCTGTTTATATTGAAGGGATGGGCCTCATCATGAGGAAGCCAGTGTTGGGCACATACAGGATGCGCCTATGTCCTCCTCTGAGGTGGCAGTTTGTACTAAATTTCAACTTTCCATATGAAAGTATTATCATTTTTTGATCTCCAGGGAAAAAGACCTTGAGATAGCTCCTTCCTTCCCCTTGTCCCCCAAAAGCAATAGAGATGTCTGGAATTGGGGGTAGAGAAGTGCATCTGTATAACAGGCTTTTCCAAAAGAAACTACAATAGAGACATTCTTCAGCCTTAAAAATTACTGGGCTCCCTAACATAGGACTTTTTAAAATTACTGTGTTTGTAGATGGGGTTGAGTTTATTTCTTTGAGATGTCAGTCCTGTTTTCTAATCACATCTTCTAAGATTCCTTCCTTTCACAGTGGAAGCTGGGATTCCCCTGTAATGACACAAAAATGCTGGTCTTTGGAGAAAACACCAGTTTGGGCAAGAATTCTGAGTAAATGTGTTACGGTCAGTAACAGTGTGCCATTTAATGGCAAGGAACTTTGGGAGATGGAAATGCACCAGGAGTTCTGTTTGATGATGAGAAAACCAGGTACTGACACTGTAGGATTAGACTGTGATTTAGGGAAGGAATTGAAGTGGGTTGGCAGACAGGGCGTTATGAACTGCAGTTCTCATTTAGCTGTATACATTTTTTTTTCTGTAAGCTCTGCCTGCAACAAAGCTTAATGGGGAGGCTCCAGGATAACTGTTGGCAACAGATTCCTCAATGGTGGAAAAGACCTTTGGTATGTGAACCTGCATGTTCAACTGACATTGACAGGAGGAAAGTGAAAAGCATGTCTTTTCTGGAGCTGATTTCAGAGCTGAAAAGAAGAGCTCTCACATGCTAATGTAGTGCTTGCTTGGAAACATCCTCTTTGTGATGACAAATGGCACAGTCTACATTTATGCATGCAATTGTTAACAAAGAGGAAAGGCTGGCAAGATAGTGGCACAAAGTGAGATCGTATTAGCAACCAGGGTACAGGTAAGCATTCAAAGGATTATCTAAAAAGGAAAGAATTCCTCCTGGAAGAAGCAAATTTGTCACTTACCAGTGTGGAAGAATGAATGAGTCACTTGGGGGAAGGTAAAGAGGAGGAAGATAAGGTATTCATTTATGCAGAGAGGGACAGATGGGGCTGGTAATTTTCATCTACTGTAGCACATCAATTTGCAGAGGAACCTGACTATTGGTGATTTGAAAAATGAGGCATGTGTATCACAGAAAGGCTTCAGAAGGACTGGAGGATGTTCTGAAGGTGAGCAAAAGCAGAATTATCCCGACTGACATTTAAGAACAGCATCTGGTGAATTCCAGCAGCAGTTGGTCTGCAAGTATCTGCAGGGCTGTAAGTGACAGGCACAAGTCAAAATAGAATTTTCAACTCAAAGTCATGCCGAATTTCTGGAGGATCCCATCCAGCACCCTTTAAATAAATGGAAAGATTCCTGTTGGCTTCAGTCTGAGTTCAGGAAGGCTCCTACTCACCTACACCTTCACCCTAGCCAGTGCCCAGCTCCAAAATGGACACTCACCAGGCATGGCTGGCACAGAAGTGGCCAGGACTGAAAGCTGTTGGTGGCCCTCACCTTCCCTTGGCAGCCCCTTCACAGCCCCACCAACACTGGGGCTCAGAGCTTGCTCTGCCCCCTAACCCTCACCTGCCCCCTCACCAGAGCCCAGCTCCAAATCACACACCTGCCACCTAGGGCTCCCCCACAGAAGTGACAAGGATTGAAAGCAGTTGGTGGCCCTCGCCTTTCCTTGGCACCAGCAAAGTCCAGCAGAAGCTGTCAGACACTCTGGAAGACAGCAGAAACCTGCCTGGGCACCAGCAAAGCCCGGCAAAAGCCCCGGGGTGCTATGGAAGGCAGCAGAGCACCTTGCAGGCTTATGCAAAGTCTGGCTAAAGCTTTGGAGCACTCTGGAGAGAAGCAGGGCCACTTGTGGACAGGGGCAAAAGCCATCAGAGGGGATTAGGGTTTGGGTTAGGTATGGGGTTAGGTGTAAGGTTAAGAATATGTTTAGAGTTAGGGATTATGTTGAGTTATATGGTTAAGGGTTTGGGGTTAGGGATAGGGTTACAGTTAGTGATATGATTAGAGTTAGGGTTAGGGATTAGGTTTTACAGTTCTGGTCAGGAGCTAGAAATAGGGTTAGGGGGTTAGGGTCAGAGTTCAAGGTTAGAGATTAGAGTTAGCATTAATTTTAGGATTAGGATTAGGTTTGGGGGTTAGGGGTTAGGATTTAGATTTAGGGGCTAGGGGTTAGGATTAGGGGTTAGGGATATAGTTAGGGTTGGGGTTAGGGATAGGGTTAAATTTGGGATTACTGTTTAGCATTAGGGTTTAGTATTAGGAGTTAGATTTAACATGATTAGGGTGAGGGTTAGGTTTTGGAATTAGGTTTAAGGGGTTAGAATTAGTGAGTTAGAGTTAGATGGTTAGATTTAGGGAGTTGGGTTAGGGACCAAGGGTTATGATTAGTGGTTAGGGGTTAGAGTTAGTGCTAAGGTTTAGTGTTAGGTTTTGTGGTTAGGTTTTGTATTAGGGATTAGGGTTAGGTTTAGTTTAGGGTAAGGTTGGGGTTACATTAAGGGTTAGCTCTGAGGGATAGAGTTGGGGGTTAGGGTTAGATTTAAGAATTTCAGATAGGGTTATGGCTAGGGTTTTTGGTTTAGAATTAGGGGGTTAGATTTACGGGCAGGTGATTAGGTTAAAGGTTAGGGGGTTAGGTTTAAGGATTATGCTTAGGGTTTATGGGCTAAAGTTAGGGTCAGCATTGGGGTTTAGGGTTGGGGTTAGGTTTACAGTTTAGGGGTTAGGCTTAGTGGTACGGTTAGAGGTTTGTTTTAGTGTTAGGGTTAATGATAGAGTTAGCATTACAGTTAGGTTTAGGGAGTTAAGGTTAGCTTCAGCTGTTAGATTTAGGGTTTAGGTTAGGGCTACCATTAGCTTTAATGTTTAGGATTAGGGTTTAGGGTTTGTCTTTTTTTTTTTTTTTAATAGTTCATAAAAGTTAATGTATAATAAGAGATGTAACAGACGTGGTATCTGTCAGCTTTAGCAGATTATTTGCCATTGTTTTACATGCCACTTTTAGAGGGCAATGATATTTGGAAACTAAGCAAGTTGCTGCACATAGGAACAGATGTTTCATCTATCACAAGCAAGATTTTTTTCAGCAGAGTTGATCCAGGTAACACACAGATTCCAGCTGACACACAGGATGGTTTAGTACAAGTCTGAACTGTCATTAAAGACCCCTGGGTTTGAGAAGCCAGTCAGACATGCAAGTGATACAAATCCAGGGGAATTACTGGTACTTTGGAAGACAGGCTCATTGGGTAGACATGGGTTGTAACATAAATGAGAGAACTGTTGGTGTCATTCAGGAGATTCATGGAAAGAAGTTAATGTAGCCAGAAATAATTAGATGCACAAGTAGAAAAATGGCAAAGAAGCCAAGGAAGAGATCAGAAGCTGTAAGATATGATGACTAACAGTAAGTCACTAGCCTGATGCTGCCTGTAGGAGGAACAGATGTCAGTCACACCAGCTAACACAATAAGTGCATACCAAATCATATCAGCCAGGCTGTACTCTGCTGTCCTTAGCATGTGCTAAACTACACCATACAGCATCTGATTTAGGAAAGAACTAACAGGAAAAAAAAAAAAAACAAAAACAAAAACAAACAAAAACCAACCAACCAACCAAAAATGCATACACAAGTTATTTGAGAAGCACAACAGAAGCGTTGAGTCGTTTGATTAAAAAAGGAAGAGAGCCGGTAGTGTTTAACCCAGGAAGACAGGCAAAATGGGGATGTCATGACATTCTAAGGGTGGACAAAGGGACACTGTGCTGAGTTTGGATAGTGAATCAGTAGTCATGACACATGGAACAAGCCCTGAGCTGATGCATCTTTCCTAGAGCTAGTAAAGAATAGACTATGTATTTATCATGCTTTAGCATCATGCAAATAATAAAAAAATAAAATTAAAAACCCCAACAGTTAAGTGATTTAATAATCACCCTGGTCATCCCAGATGAGTTCACAGTTCTCTGACCTGAGCTGATACTGCAAGGAAGTCTAGTTCTTGTTTCATGCAGGAGTAGCAAAGTTGATGGGCTGTGAGATGTCGGGACTTGAGGCTGATGATGTATCTGTGTCCAATCACTAGATTTCAAGTTGAAAGAAAGGATCTGACAGAGCAGAAGACTCTGCATGCTGTAATTCATCGCGGCATTTAAACTGAGTGGCAGTATCTCTGATGATTCAGCAGAGGTGATAGGAATTGTAGCTCTAGAAGCTGGAGTGCAGAGAGGAGAGGCCTGGTCAGAAGAACAGGGTGTGCAAATCTGGTTACTATGTATATCACCAAAAGATGATAAGCATTGCCATTCATATACTATAGCTCAGTGGCCAAGGATGCAGTGGCAAAGCCCACGCCCCTGTGAGTGTCCACAGTACTCTAAGCATTTACCCTCAACATTTCTGCAAAGTTTTCTTAGAATTAAGAACACTAAAAGTGTTCTTGCTGCAATTGTTTTCCAATAAAATACTTCTGATCTGAGCCAGCAAAAAGTAACAAAATCCAGCTTCCCAGAATACAGGTGAGGGGACTGGCCACAGAGCCTTTCCCACAAAGAAACAGGAATGGAGTCTGCTCACATCAAGGGAAAGAGAAGGGAAACATTCATGGCACTCTTTGGAGGCTTTTGGAGAAAGCACTGTCCTCCTGTCCACAGAACAACTGGAGATTGTTCACAAAGACCCTCTTGTCTCACGAACAGAGGGTATTATAAAAATAAGTCATTAAAAGCATAGGGTGAATTTAGTACAGAAGCAGAAATTGGGGTGACTAGGGACAGATAGAAAAACAAGAGCAAAATGCTCACTCAGCACATGGGGCTAAGCAAGAGGGTCCGCTGAAAGGAGGGATGTCTCTCAAGGTGAGGCACTCCCAGCAACAACAGCTGCCAGCACCCTTTTGCCTTTTTCTCACTCCTCAGTGAACGCCTCAGCCTAGAACTCCGCGAGGTTAGGAGCATGTGAGCCTCACCCTCGTCTCTCTCTCGTGGCAGCAAGTCTCCTCAGCCCCAGACATGGGGAATGCAGTCAGTCACTGACCAGGCTCTTCAGAGGCATGTAGGAAAGGCAGCTCTTGACTCAGTGCTTTAAATCTCAGGACTCCTTCCTCCAGGTCGATGCAACACTAAAGAAGGGGAGAGCCAGTTACTTGCTGGACAGTCCAGATAGTAAATCTCATTATGTCTATGGGGAAAACCTGTATAACCATCAAACAGCCCCACTCTGGATTCACAGAGACCTTACAGTTCTCCTTCCTGTCCCCCATTCTGCCTCCTTCTTCCTATTACCTTCAGTGGATTCTTCTCCAAACCCTCCACAGGGCCATTCCCCTCCCTTCTTCCTATGACTCCCTCTGAGGTGATGTCCTCACATCACTCAGCCATTCAGCCCAATGCTTTTCCTGCTTTATGCATCCAACATGCAGCTACAAATACTTTACAGGCAGGCACAAGCTTGCTGCAGCCATATATTTTGAGCCACTCAGGAATCAGGCTCAGCAGAGCACTAACCCTGAGCAGACTGACAAAAGGAAATGACTCTTTCCACTCATGTCCAGCTAGTGTTGGACACTGAATCATACAGCCTCCTTTGGCTCAAAGCAAGGGCAGAGCTTGTTCACATCTGCCTTCTAAAGGCAACACAGATATAACTCATGACACAGTGTGCCTTGCCTTATCCCCTCTTCATTTTTCTCTTCCCGTTTGCAACTTGTATGGTGAGGAATACAAAGAATGGGAGATGTGATAGTATCCTATTGGGTGATTCCCTTCTTAAAACCCATAAGGACTGGAAAGGAGTCGGTGACTCGGAGCATACTGCAGCCAGCCAGGGGCATTGCAAGTGGCACCCGGGAAGACCTGAAGTATTTTTGATGCTTACAGCAGCCAAAGCTTGGAGAACTTCTTGAGAGGAGCCCTGCAATAAGCAAGAACCTGTTCCTTACCTTGAGAGACAACAGTGTCTGGAGACCAATGCAAAATTCCATCATTTCATCATCTGAGAAGAGAGAGGAGACTGATCAGGCTTAAAACTGCATATACTGCCCCTCTAAAGAAAGTGTGTCTCTCCTGTAAGAGGATGTGGAATATGAGAGCATCTGGTTCATAAAGTTAGATGGTTATGGTCTGTTCAGTGTAAAGTGAATAACAAATAACAAGGAAAGTGATGAATTAAACACACGAACATTAACAAGCAGGTGGTAAAAGTGACAGTAACAAAGACCAGCTCTCTTCTGCCACTGACTGATGAGTCATTAAAGGAGCTACTTAGGCACAGCCCTGAAGAGGGTCAAAATTAACTCTGTAGCTGATAAGGGGAAGGAACTGTGATTATCGTGAGTATTATGAGATATTTGTGGGGGTTTCTTGCATTGTTTGAAACTTACTATGAGATACCAGAAGGGGCTTGTGGGATCATGTAAGACTTACTATGGGCTGTGTAGGGGAAGGGCCAAAGGCAGGAGGAGACAAGCAGGAGGGTGGATCAGGGAAGAACAAGCATGGAAAAATGGAGAGGAGAGGGGTTAAGGGGGCCAATCACGTGCAGGCAAGCTGTTGGTGAGTTCACTTGTCTGACCAAACCCTGTGCCTGATGGCTGCAATCTATCTGATCTTACTAAATAATTTTGGTAAGTAATTGTTTTCTGTGTAACCTGTCTATCCTACATATGACTGCTGCAAGCCTTAAGTGTCAGCAAGTGAAGATACCATGAGTTAAAGGGCAAATAGCTCTAGATGTCAGCAACAAGAGGGACTGGCATGCAAGAGAGGTGCCAGTAACTGAAGGGACCACAGGCCATAGGGCTCATAGGTCTCTATCAGCAACTGGAGAAGGGGATGTAGCTCATAGGTGCCAGCAACTAGAGAGACCCGTGTGCAGGAGAAGTCTGGGTGCCAGTAACTGGGAAAGTGAGCACAGGACATTGGACTTACATACCTGGGTGCCAGCAACTGGAGGGACTGCAACGTGTGCTGCAAGGTCTAAGTTCCAGTAACTGGACAAGTACTATGGGTCACAGAGCTTGTAGGTCTAGGTGCCAGCAACTGGACAGATTAGGATACAAGAGAGCTCTGGGTACCAGTTCTGAGCAGTGTCACAGGGGCCTCAGGTTTAAAAGCCAGCAACTGCCGAGAACAGGGTATATGTGTCAGAGGTCTAAATGCCACTAACTAGAGAGACTTGGTTGTGTTTACATTTCCTCAGTGAATTTAATCCTATATGCTTTTGGGTTTGTATACATAGTTAGCTAGCAAACTTCAACCTGATTTAGCCAGTAAGTAGGAGGAAACCTGCATTGGGAAAGACTCAGCACCTGGCTCAGTGGCTGGGTAAGGTGCCCAGAGTCCAAACATGGATATAAGACAGACCTAGAAGCAGTGCTGTTACCTGAAGACTGTGTGAATATGAGTGAGCTTGTGAACCTAGAGGCTGAGGATGTACAAACTTCTGCTAGTGAACTTCAATCCTGCTCAGCCAGAGAGGAGGACGAAGACGGGGCTGTCTGTGCTGGTGCTCATGTGAGTGCTGGTAAAGGCACTGCTCTGTGTGTGGTAATCTGTGTGGCTGACCTTGTCTGTATGCTCTCAGTATGTGCCTCTCCGGAATATATGTACCCGCTACTAAGAACATACATTGAAGTGGGCGAGAGCAACCTCCTGGGTCTTAGAGTCATCCATCTGGACTTCAGTGGCAGGGAAGGAGGAATCCCCAGGTCCTGGAATCTTCAGGATTCAGCAGCAACCAGTAACATCATGAACACTTTCTATGTCTCCTGGATGCCTGCTTGCCCTGTAACCAGTGGCTGTATTTTATAATTTATTTATAACCACATAAGCAAGAGCACTGTGTACACAGGGAGATGTAAGGCACAGATTTATCGCTTCTGCTCCTTCCAGGCAGCCGTTTCCACCTCCCAGCAAAATGGATAGGTGCTACTGGGTTAAATTCACCTGTGCTGGTACTAATACAGACTCTCCATGAAGGACAAGAACAAGCAGAAGGGAAACCAGGGAAGAAGAGTGAGCTGGAATGTGGAAGAGGAGGAAGCTCTTTCTAGATGACCAGGAAAAGTGGGAAGAATGGACATGAGAAGAGGGAACAAGGGAGGCCTTGAAGATGAACAGTACTCATCAAAGATGAGGAGACAGATAAAGGCAAGAAGATAAAGCTGGAAGACTAATAGGGCGAAAGAACAGGGGAAAAAAAGATTACTAAGTTGTTTTTAGCATGTGCACAGCTTGATGTAAATGCAGAACATGCAGCCTTTCTGTTGCTTTCTGGGTGTGCTTCAGTGCCTGCTGACTTGACCTTGTTTCCTACAGCTCCTTCGTTCAAAAGGTCCTGCCTCAGGACACCAAGGGAGACTCAGCACTCTGAGGCTACCAGGTTCTCCCAGGGATCTCCCTGGCGGAGGCAGATAATACACAGAGAAACACTGAAGAATAAGCTATACTCTCTGTCCATTTATCTGATGGCTTTCATCCAGCCAAAGACACAAGTGCCCACTCAATAGGAGAACAAAAGGCACCAAAAGACTAATCAAGCAGTCTGGATAATTTTAAGAAAGGTCCATTTTAAAAGACAATGTGAATTTTCCACATCCTATGTTAAGACCAAAAATCCCCTTATTTCTCCCCACTTTCAACGTCTTCTGTCTTCTCTGTACTCTTCCTATGCCCTTTGCCTTTGGTTACACTGAGGATATTCACCGCACATCACGGTCTCAGCCATCAGCAGAGGTGACCACATCACCAACCTCCCACCATGTTACACTTTCCCAGAGATCCTTTCAAATGCCCTTCGCAGGGCAAGAGGGATGCAGAAAAACTGGGGGCGAGGAGGGGCTGGCACTCTCACCTACAACCAGTGCTGAACACAGCACTGTCTCCTGGCCAAATTGCAACTCCATATGTTCTACTCGGCCAACAACACTGGGGATGGGAAGAGAGAAGTCTCCACAGTCCATGGCAGATACTTCTTCCAGCCTGTGGGACACAAGAGGTGTTATTGCCTCAAGTGGGGGAAGAGGAAGAAAAACAGGACTTCTCACTGATGGCACAGTACTTCTTGGTCTCATTGGGAACACACCCACAAGAGGAAGAATGAAGGAATCTCTTTTATACAGCATGTCTGGAGGCAGATTCCACAAGCAAAACCACACAGTGCTATCCATTTGTGTTCCTCACTGCTGAGGCTAAATATCAGCTGGGCAGCTTTGCCTGACAGTACACACAGACAGAATGACACAGCTCTGCCTCCTAGTCTGGGGTCTGCACACAATTTTTCCAGAGCTCCTGATGTCTTGACCTGTAGCCCACCCTCTGCATCTTCTGCTAAACAGCTATGTGCACATGCAAATCTGCTAGTAATTATCACTGGGGCTGGGAATCAAGAGTGCCTAGGTTCTTGCAATAGGTTTTCCTTCACCCAACCCTCCTTTTCTATTGTGCAATGACTTACCCCAGCTGGTTTAAGCAGCTCTTGGAGATGAGATTTGGTAGACACCCAGTGTCAACAGTTGCTTTCAATACCTGCCCTCGGCACTGAAAAAAACAACAACAGATAATTATTGTGGGCTCAAAATTGGCATACCCCCTCCCCCAACAGTGTGACAATCCCTTAGACATTCCTTAACAACACAGCCAAAGATGTGGTGTTTTAGGCAGTAGGCAGAAGACTCATCCAAGACAATGGTGGTCTCCCCAAGTGCTCTGAAAACCTCTGTCAAAGGTTTCTTTTTGAATTTGGCTTCTTTAATTTTTATTTGATTGCCTGGACACTTATCTGTCGTTAGCAACTTTAACTTAGTAGTATTCCAGTCAAGAGATGAATAACTACTGAATTTGTTCCAAAAACCCACATGGACTTTATTAGCAGAGCAATAATTGATATGACAAATGCTTCTGAAGGAATATAAGCATGTGCTACAGTCTTTGTAGGTTTCCATTCTCCATTTCTTCTGCTGTCACAGGGAACAATGTTCCAGGGCTGGAAGTCTGTTCTCAGTTGAACAGGTTCCAAAGAGGGAAGTCTGTGGGAGAAGCAGGAGCACACAGGACAAGCATCCCTGAGAAGAGCTTGAATTTAAGGCAGTTCCCAAGATAACTGGCACATACAAATGACTCCTGAATCCAAGAGACAACCTAATCAAGAGGTGTCTATTTTGTGTGGGCCTTACATTAAGTTCCTAGACATCTCTTTAAGGAAATATGACATGAACACTACAATTACAATATTCACAGCTGATGTCATCTAGCAAAGGGAGAGACTGGATGCCTTGCACCCAAGTCACCTCTGCGTGATCTTACTGGAATAATCCCTAGTGCCTTGCGCACTTCATTTCTTCATCCCTTTGCACTTGAAAGGGAACAGGAGATGTGGTTGCCATCTATTTTGTGTCCCCTCTGCACAGAGGTCCTTAATAGCAGGACAGAGGTGCTGAAAACAACTGATCTCATATATGGGAGAGGTCTGAAAAAATAGCGTCATCAAGGACATCAGTAAGAGTTATGCTCATAAAAAAAAAGGAGGAGCAGGACTTATTAAAGGAACTGGAAAAGATGGAGTAACTGCCATCTACAAAATATGACTTGCACCTACATATAGCACTTAACCATACCCATTCTTGACAGCCTAGTTCTTCAAGGCTATGTCTTGCACCAACATCCAAAAACAACCACAGAGTTTCCTTCTTGGGAGGCTCATTTTCCTCCTGCTATCATCTGTATTTTTCCTGTGATTCTTTCTTTTCAATCCACTATAGCACTCAGTGCCATGAGCCGTGCAGAAGCAGCAGCAGATCAACCACAGCTCCTCTAATGTTCATTCCTGACAAGATTAAATGCTTTGAACACCTTAAGCAGATCAGCATGACCATCAGCGACTCAGTGCAGAACCAGTAGGGTTAAGTAAATTATCTCAGTTTCCTGATTTCTTAACTGAATCTGTTTATGATTATTACATAGGCTAATTATCACAGACAGCTACATCCAGTATTTTCAAGATTTCATTTTCAAAATTGTGCCATTTGTGAGTTTTTATAAAAGGAAATGAAAAAAACACCTTCTGTGAGAAATACTGGCATGCTGCAGACACAAAACCAATAGTAGCTTGAGTGCTAACTGCACTCAAGGCAACCTCAGCACATGCTGGAAACCTGAAGTCTGTATACGTGTATATTTAAATAAAATCAGTGATTTTAGAAGGAAGAACATTCACCATGTATGGCCTCATCCAGGAACAAGGAGAGAAGTGCTCAAGCAGTGTCTTCACAGAAAATATGCACAGATACATATTTGCAACAGCTCCCGATTTGGTTATTATACACTTTATTGTTTAATGTAAAAACGCATGTCTTATTCATAAAGAATTATGTCCAGTTAATCAACAGTCCTGGGTGACTGCAAATACTTGCGACTTCTTACAACAGCCAATTGAGGCATATAGTGCTAAATACTTTAGGAAAGCCAAAGCCAAGACAGATGTCACAAAATTCTGGCTGCCAGCACTGTGCCCTCCCCATTATATCATGTGCTTCTCACAGCCTCAGCCACATTGATATCTACATTCAACCCAAGGCCGTTCTTTAGCAGATGGTATGGAAATTGCCACAGAACTACGAAGTCACAGGTTGGGAGAACAGAGAATTTAACTGACATGATACCAGCTGGGAGATTCATGAAACAGAGTCAGACCACAGAGAAGCCAGCGCCCAGAAACCCCCTTGCAGTTCTTTGCACATTCATACAATAATATTCCCCCAGCTCCTTCACAAATGAGCAGTCCTGTTTCACTGTGGAGCAGCTTGAACTGTCATCCCATGGTAATACAGATTATACATGACAGAGCTGGCAGGAGACCCAGCCATGCTGCTGCCTGCTCCCCAAATGCACACCCGTTCTCTTGCCCTTATGCCTCTTCGCACAAATCTGCTTTAAGCAAGTGGGAGAGCGTGCTAGAGAATGTTCTGGAAGAGCTGCTATGCACTCTATTTAGAAGTTTCTGACTTTGGCAATACTTTTGCTTGCTCTAGAAGCAGCATTGCCACCATGGCACCAGACTGCCTGGCACGTCAAGTTTCAACATTCAGGACTCAAGAGTAGTGCCTGCCCATCGAGGTCCCCGAGGCCAGTTGGAGAAATCCCACCTACCTCATGACAACAGCTGTTTGTGGCAAAAGCTAGTATTACAAAGGCCAGGATTCTAAAGAGAAAACAGCCTGGAAACTGACTGGACCCAGAGGACAGTCCTGTATCCCTGCCCAGGGCAGGGGGGTTGGAACTGGATGATCTTCAAGGTCCCTTCCATCCCAACCCATTCTGTGATTCTGCGATTCTATGACAAAATGCCTCCCCTTCTGCTTTTAGAGCTCAGTAATATTTGTGCTGTCTGGTCCTCACTGACTCATAGGCCCTGCCTGGAAGGACTGTGGCCAGACTAAGCAGAGAGGCGAAATAAAGCACAAAGTGCAGATACATGCTGAGCATCTGCCTCCTCATCCCCTGTCCTGCGCCGCCTCATAGAAGAGGCTTCTCTGTGCCTCCTCACTACCTAAGCAGGTGTATTAGCCATGAGTGTCAGGTCAGGTATGCTACCACATCTGCCCATACTGCAACCTGCCAGCAGTGACCAGCTGAATCAGCTGTTCCTCATTAACAGACATGGATTCTACTGGGAAAGAGCTAACCATCCCTGTGGCTCACAGAAGCCAACTGTTCATTGCCCAGCTACAGAAAAAGCATTGTATCAGCTCTTTGGAAACAGAAGACCTGGAGTATGGAGAGCAGTTTGGGAGCAGGCAGACCTAAGATGCATAAGCTGTTAGTTGTGGTAATAAACCTAAACTGTATCACTAGGCAGATTCTTGATTTTTGTTTCAGAGCAGGCTGGGAAAGTTGTAAGTTGGAAACTTGCTAGGATATGACAGGACAGTGATTATTCTATAGAAAGCATTTCAGCTCATTCAGTGGTAAACAGCCCTGCACAGTTATTGGCTCCAGCAGCCTCACAAAAGCTATCCACCTTCCAATTATGCCACTAACCATTTTCCCAGAGAACCCACCAGGAGCCTGAGGAGAGCCCTTGGTCCAGCATACCACAAATAAAATGCAGATTAGGTAAGGAGTACACAGGCAGCTGATGAGCACAGCAAGCCTTCCTGGACTAAGAGGACTTTTCATCATGTTACCCACAGTCATCTCTGCCCTGGAACTTTCAGCCTGTTACTACCAGTCACCATTAGTCATTATCTAAAAGTCAATTACGGGGATTTACAAAAAAAGAGAAAGAGAGGAGTGGAATCAGTAACGATCACCATTTATAAAGAGCTTTATTTTCTGAAATAATGTCAGTTCCAAAGTCAAGAAGCTGCTTTAACCAACCAAAGTTGATTAATCCCAGGTTGCTTTGGCACAGAGGAAAAGCAGCTTTGGACAGCAGTGGAATCCTTCAGCATCTATTTCCAAGTCAATGAGAGACAAGCCTCACAACACACAGATACCAGACATGACAAGCTTTCCAAAGTGCTTTGCAAAAACTGCCATAAAAAGGGGCAGTTATGCTAAAGTACCATGTGAGCAATCCACCTAAGTAAGTAGGAGTGAGTGACTTTGCAATATAATCATAATAGACTGGGTCTGTCTGTGATCTCTGAGACTTAAAAAGGCCTTAGGCATGGGGTAATTATAATCTGTTAGAGTGAAAACACTTATTGCCTGAATCTCCCTGTATTACTGAAGTCTGTATATATTCAGCTTTATTTCCTAGTCAAGTTCAGCTACTAGTGAGGTGATGCATTTGTTACCACTTTGACATTTTCAGCATACTTGCCTGAGTGTAAATGGAAGCTTTATGTTGGTAGATGACCTTTTCTTGGGAGCTGCTGTCAGAGAGAATAGACTTCACTGGGGTCGTGTTCCATTTCTAATAAAAACTGCACAATAGTCAAGCAGTTCTCAGAAAGGTACCAGCTCGGCTCTCTGGTTAAAATGAACTGGCATCCTGAGTGCTATTTCCTGGCATAGATCTGTTACTTACAGACAAGGTTTTTTGAAGTTCACAGCTGTGAACATGAAAAGCAGTGAGTCTAAAAAGAAAGACAGAGCTTCCCTTCCTTCAATGTAAGAAGATTAAGTGCGGCAGACAGCGACTGGCTCTTAAGAAGGGCAGAAAAAGAGAAAAATGCCTGTGCAGAAGGTACTGAGCTCAGGGAGAGTTAAGTGCAGTGTTAGACCCATTTCCTTGACTGTGATGTTCATTATCCATCCTCCATGAAGGAAAATATAATGTGCATGACAGCTGGGATGCAGTGCATTAGAAACAGAAAAGGGGAACAAGTGGACTCCAACGCTGTCAGCTACTGCCCATGGGATATGATACCTACGCATGCCTGTCCTTGTTTGATGTACATGCCTGGCAAAAGCCCACCCTTTATCACTGAGTTTCCTCTTACAGAACAATACAGACTGGTGATTAAAGAAAAAGAAACACCTTCATTTGCTAAAAAAAAGACTCCAGCTGTTAGGAGAAATTACACTGAGAGCCATTCATCCTACTAGTCTGTTTTCCCAAGTATGATTATGTTAACCTAGCTGCATTAGTCTAAAACACAGGCTGAGCAATGCCTAATGGCAACAGTAAACACTGGAAAACAAACCAGACAGTGGCTTTACCTGGTACTGAGACACTCGATCCAAACATTTCAGAAGCTTGGCACAAGGCTGTGTTCGTATGATAATTAATTGTGCCAACTGAATTTTCAATAGTATATGTGTTTTTCCTAGAAGTGTAGACATTACACTCTAATATGTGAGATGTTCTTTAGGACAGGTAAATGAAATTAACACAGCGTTAAAATGGATTTTTTTCCAGGTCTATATCTTGGTGAGCCTCATATCTGCATATTACTGAACAGCTCTAACCATGCAGCCTTCTTTCATGGGGAACAGTGTTTGTATGTGCTTTCTTACCTACAGGGGCCAGGGAGGAGTGCATTCTGCTCTATAGGAGGATAAAAAAAGGGAGCTAAAAAGTGCTGCTTCCATCAAGAAATGCAACAGCACTAATTCAGAGCATAGTTAGTTAATTTCTTAGGAGGTTCTTTGACACCTGAGGGAATCAGACCAGACTGGATCCAGTAAGTGTAAATCAACTAGTGGGACCTGTCTTTAAGTGACAGGGAGACATTCCTTGCTTCTGTATGAAGATATGAAATACCTCATATCATGGGAAAACTGGCCTCCAAAGGAGATGTGATTAAGGTAATTTATCTTCAAATATGGACAACTAGAATGCATGTGGCAGAAAGGCTTTCCCTTGTCTCTTGGAAGAACTGAATCCAAACTCTAGGAGAGACCACGTGGAAAATCTACTCTCTCTGGCTGCAGCTGGCTTTGTAATTAATAACTTAGCATAGCCTTTGGGAATGGGGCAGCCGGGACTCATTGAGCATTTGCCATCACTGTGAAGTCAACACCACTGCATTATTGCCTTACCTGGCACTGTATTAGCAGAGATGAAGTCTCTTTTTTCCTGTCCTTTTCCACCTTTTCATCCTGGTCTTTTGTCACTGGAGATTGAACCCGTGCAGACTGAACTCTGGTCTCGCCCCGCAGCTTGTTCAGATTACCTTCCAAGAGGCGCCTCTGGACCACACTATGTGGCTGCTGTCTCCATCACAAAGAAAGAGAAATCCCAGCTAAGTATGGAGCTAAGGACAAGGACATTTGCTAGCCCAAGGAAGCAGATTGCAGATGCTTGACTCAGCCAATCATCCTGATGAAAGGCATACTTATCCCCCAAAACTTCCTTTAAATACCAAGATTTTTCCTGTAGCCTTTACGGTGATGTTAAAGTGTTGGGATATCTGTGACAGGCAGGTCTCAGGGGTGCAATTATTGGAGGAGAAGAACATGCCTGATGCATGCTCTCCCCACGCATATCTGTTCCTTCATCTAAACATACACTTGGCTGTCTCATACCTGTTCAGGTACTGCAGTACCTTGGCTGACATCCAGCCAGGCACAGTCACACTTTCTAATGTGAGAGGGGATAGGGAATGCACCATGTGTGTGATGTACATGTGGATAAGGAGGCAGGACTCCAGAAATTTTAGGTGTACAAGCAATTATTTGTAGTGAAGCGAGGAATTTCCCCTCCATAGGAAACTAAAACTAACTTCTGTTCTTTGGAGTCTGTCTCTGCTTCACTCCATCAGAAGTGACACTATTTTGACTCCCTTCCTAATTGGGGGTATATCTATGAAGCCCTTAGTTGTGCACAGCTAGAAAGAAGCACCATCAGCCAGGCCAACAGCTGAAGAAACTTTATTCCCATTATTTTATATATCACCTCATTCATATTTCATGTATCTTGTATTCCTATTTCATTCCTACCTCCTTTCTTCCAGGCAGAAGAAGGGGAGGTGCACCAAAAGGGAAGAAAAACTGTGAAAAACTTCTTGTTCCAACATTGCATACATGCACAGGAAAGTGTTGCTTTGGAAAGAAAGCTCCCTTCATCATCAGCTTAATGCTCTGTTTTTTGCCCAGTGTTGACCCAGTGTCTCTAGTCCCTGCAGAGCTAGTGAACAACAACAGGCATCATCAGTGAAGGAGGTCTGTTGGAGGTAGCTTCATCCTTTCTCCATGTACTTGGCCCCATGGCCCCTCTCCAGGAGAGCAGCTGCTCAGAGCTGACAGTAGTGTTCTCAGTAACAACTGCCTATGTGAAGGAAAACAATGAATCTGATGGGTCTAGTGTGCTACAGCGTAAACCATTGCTATTGTCTTTCTCAAAAAAAAAAAAAAGCAAGCAACTTCCAGATGGTGCAGCAGTTTGATGTAGGATCTTATCAATGTACAGGCCAAACATCTGAATTAGACCAGACCTGCCATCTATTGATCCAACAGAGTGTGTGTGCTTCAGACTAGCTTTATGCTTGATCAAAGGGCTGAGGCCAGGAAAATGTGCAAATTGCAACTGGAAGCACGCTGACTTGTTAGTTTTGCCTGATGGTTGGAGCAGGAGAGATGTTACTGGCTCTTCTGTTGCTCTTCTTCTCTTCTGCTTTTCCCTTTGCCGAGTCTCTCATGCCTCTGTTTCCCTGTCTTTCCCTGGGCTACTGCGCAGGCCCACAGCACAGCTGGCTGTTGTACTTCACTCCCTAAATACTCTGAGCACAGTGCCCGTTTGGCTGCCAGCTAACATCTGGGCCGTGGGAATAGGGCAGGAAACTGACAGCAGGTCTCCAAAATCCTGTTCTCTCCCCTGTCTCCTCCCGTGACCTGGCATGCAAAGGACCTTTCCCTCTCCCTGCAGCCTTTCCCACAGAAGGAGCAGACCCTTTGCAGCTGCCACCTCTGCCCCCTTCCTGTCACTCAGTCTGGGAAGAGGCTGAACACGGATGGGCAGCAGCTGAGCTTTGGAACTGTGGAGGCATCTGATCCAAGAGCAGGCTCCTGGGGTCCTCCCTGTCTTCTGTCTCACCAGTAAGACAGAGAAATGGAGACCATTGTCTCTCTTGGGCTGGTAAGAAACAATGAGATGAAGAGTATGGTGAGGGAGGACCTGAAGGGACTTGTGGCCAACAGCTGGAAGGGAGGCCCTCTCAGGACTCTTCGAAGGGTCAGAACACATTCCCAGTTCCATCTTGTTCAGGCTTTCCAACGTGAAATCTCAAGGCCTTGCTATGATTAGTGAAGTAGTATGAGCTGGGGATCTTGACTTTTGGGAGGGGAGAAGCCAGATCTTCAGAGCTTCTTGGTACTTTCAGAATACTTTAGTTCATGCAGCTATCTTGGGTTTGGGTTTGGTTTTTTGTTTATATTAAAAAAAAAAAAAAGGTGTCATGCTTGTAGTTGTTATAAAGCTGGAAATGTGAGGTCTTTACTGAAAAGTATAATTTCTCATTGTTGGAGATGTGGTGGGCCCATCAAATCCCAGACACTGCTGGATGCATTGCATAAGCTGCACACACAGAATACACAGAGAAGACTGGCAGAAAGCCTGACTTTGACTATATAAGAAAACACGTAGTTTTTTTAAATTACATGGGTCCTTGCTCTAAAATAGGCCATGTAGGGCTGCCACAGCTGGAGTCTCTGGCACTCCCAATGCAGACATTTTTTGGGGAATTAATTAAACTTTCCTCCCAGTGTAAGTGCTATAGAACTCGGGTGGTTTACATTTTCTCCAAGATCAACCTCTCCAGAACTTCCTGATGCTGCTTTGTTTCCAGCCCTGCATTCCTGTCCTCCAGGAGGGAGCCAGATCAATGTAGGAAACAGATGGAATTTTGCATGGGGCTGGAGGAGTGCCCAAACACATATTTTGGGCTCTAATTTGAAGCCCCCAAACCATCACAGTGATATCACAGTGGCACATCAAGTTTCAGGGACTGCTGAAGTGCTCTTGGAAATCTAAGGCCTGGTTCTTCTCTTGTTCCAAGGCACACCAGAAACAGAGGTACCACAGCTACCTCACTGACCCCAGGTATAGCACTATGTGCGCAAACTTTGCACAGGTGCCACACTTCATCATGTGCCTTCTAACACCAGTTCAAAATTTCATGGCAGAAAATATGCTTTATTCACTGCTCCCTAGCTCCATGATAAAAATGTTTCAGCCATTTTGTTATGGACCAAACATGAACTATGCAGTAGTTTTCAGTGACTGAACACCATCTGCATGTGAGGAAGTCTCCTGCCTAGAATGGTTAATTTGACCAGGAGAGCTGCTCGTGGCAAGCAATTTGGACAAGGCATGTCTCACTTGATTAGAGTGCCAGCCTCTGGAGGCCAAGACTGCTACCTGTACTGTGCAGGACTCTCACAGAGGCCTCTGGCTGGCACTTCAGCTGTAATTTTGGGACATGGTATTACAGGAGTCATTTCCAAAGCAAAGCAGGTAGACATGTTTCTCTCTGCCTTTGTGGATGGGCTCATCAAACACCCACTAAAAGGCTCAAAAGTGGTTCCTCCTCACTCCCTGCCAAAAGCAAAAAGCAAAAGGAAGATCTCAGGGGTATGTCTGGCAATCCCCTGCTGAGGAGATAGTTCAGCTGCAGTGCTGCAGGGCATGAAGGGCCAACGCTAGCCTGCCCGTGCTGCCAGCCTGCAAAGGGCCCTCCAGGCTCTGGTGCGGACAGACCTCCTTCCCCACAGGGAGGAGAGGCCCTGTTCCTCACTAATACGACATCTGCATGACTCCGTTCTTGTACTTCAGCCAGCACCAATGTTCAGGGCCAGAGGGATGCTCTGACCAGTCTCTACTGACAGCTCTGTGTGTGGCTGTAAAGGACAGGCAGAGCATGAAGCGACAGCTCAGGGTGACTTTGAGGAACGACCCTTAACCCTGCCGAGCCAGGGACTCTCAGCAGCAGCCAAGGCAGCTGCGGAGAGGGTGGCAGGAGCAGGAGGGTACGCCAGCACGGGAAGGTGGCACTAACCCCGCCGTCTGCGCATTGCAGAGCTGCTGTACCCAAAGGTTTTAGCAAGGAGGATAGTTTCCAGTCAGGCCCAGTGCCCGGGACCATGCCTGTCCCGCACATATGTGTCCTTGTGCACAGCAGCACCTTGCTGCCAGCAGATGTAGGGCCTGCCACAGGAGCCAGGAAACTACCAGAGGATATAACACATGCATGAGCACCTGTGGTGGTGCTGCAGTGGACTAAGGATACAGAGGGAAGCATGGGCTGCAGGAAGGGTCAAGATCTTTTATGACACCCACTGGCACAGCTGGAGTAAGTGTTTGTGCTCCCATCACTGGCCAGACCCAGGACCTCTTTTGGGAAAATGGTTTAGACCTCTGCATCCTTAAGCAGTTAAACTCCACAGTGGAGAGAAGTTAGACAGCAAAACTGCCAGAGTAAGGGGGAGATGCGTGCAATTAAGTCAGCAAGAGATCCTGTGGAAAACTGCTCCCAGCCTTGGGGAAGTCCCTCCAGACCACAGACTTCCCAGGCTCCTGGAACAGACCCCCTCCCTGATGCCTTCTGCTCCACAAAGAGACACCCACAGGCCTCACTCCTGTGCCCCCTCCCCAAAGTTGTCACCCGTGGGTGCTGGCCACTGTAACTGCCTGCATGCCTGGCTAGCCATTCTGCCCTGTGCTCAACTCTCTGGAAATCCAAAGAGTGGGGGGAAAGAGAATCATACAAAAAAGTGACAATGTCAAACATAAGCCTCTCAGAGTTTCATTAGCTATACTTTTCTCCCTGCTTAGTCCAGGAAGGAGTCTGCTTTTGAGATGGATCATGCAGGAATACAAGGTAGCTTTCAGAGACATCCCACATGGAAACATATATGTCAGATAAGTGGAAAGTTGGATCCTGAAGAGTCCTCCCAGTCCATGTCTGCCTGCCTCTACGAGGAGTTTGATCCCCATGGGGATGCATAGGAAGATAGATGCAAAAAAATGGGTGATACATTCTTTCCCCTCACCCTGACCTGATCCTAGATGATGCTGAAGGGAAGTTTCATCTTTACTGAACCCATGTCCCTTTCACAAAGATGGACAGCAGTTCCCAACTGGGATGAAGGCTATTAGAAGGACCCCCTCCCAAATGGGGTCCCACTGGACTCACCAGATCCTTGGAAGTGCCAAGCCTGGTCAAGCTGTCCAGGGGCAGCAGGTCAGCAGAGTCCTTGTGCACAAACTGGGTGGCCTGTTTAAGACGCCTCTTCTGTTGCAGAATAGCTTTGTCCCTCAGCTCCACTTCACACTCCTCTTGCTCCAGGTCAGGAGTACCATCAATCTGCTTTTCCTCCCGGTCTCCTTGTCCCAGTGGCACAGGGCAGTTCTTCCTTGTGCTCATGGTGAAAATTCAGACAGAACAGGTCCTTCTTTGTATGCCGGGATGTTCCCTGAACTTGTTTCCTGGTGTTTGCTCTCCCCGGGCTCTCAGTCTTTGAGCTCCTTTCCCTTTCCTACAGCTCTCCTTCTCTCTTTTTCTTCCTGCTTTCTTAGTTAGAACTCACCCATCTCTGAAGTGTCCCTGTGCCTCTGTCCTCTCCACTCCCCCCGTGTCCCTCTGCTCCCCAGCTCTTTCTCTCCCTCTCTTCTCCTGTCCTGACTGCAGCTCGGCCTCCTCCAGTAGGAGGGGTCTCTGTTGTAACAGAAAAAGCCCCACGTCAGACACCAATTTCCATAAATTACATCAGAGCCGGCAAGATGCTCCGGCTGGAAAAATCCAGCAGAAGGATGGCCCCGCTCTTGGGGGCTGGACTTACCTCCCTTGGGCCGTGCGCGCATGCGTGTGGGCCGTGTGCGTGTGTGTGTATGTATGTACACACGCGTGCTGCCTGTTCCCCCAGGACACTGAAGAGACAGTAAATCTCCCGGTGGCAGGCTGTGCAGTTCAGTGTCTCTGCTGGGGGGGCTTTGACACATCTCAGTGAATCTGTAGATATCAGCAAAAACATGGTTCAGCCTAGGAGGTGATGCAATGCCCCGGTAAATGGGAGAGAGCATCTGCCGTAAGGGCTCCTGGCAAGCGTGCACAGTCTCATTTCCGCAGAGTGTCATGCATTTGTAATAGGCTGCACTGAAGGATTTTTCTGTGTAGCTTGAACGAAATGCTGATGGCCTGGTTTCTGCTTCCAGACAGGGCAAATATATTGGGCCTGACTCTACCCTCAGTTTCACCCCTCTCCATCTAGAGCAATTCCCCGAACTTGCAGAAGCCTAAAATCACTGGCTTGTTAATAACAGTGGACTTGACTCCCTGTTTACACTAAGAGTATGCTGACACTGTTGCAGTATGGGATGTCTGGACCGTGGCATGGCAGAGCTCACTTTTTCAATTTTCTGCCTCCATATGGTCCTGCTTGAAACTGTAAGTTTTAACTTGAACTGAAGCTGCTTTATTTTGATCCTTTTTCACTGGTGAATGCACTGCCCCATCAAGCACAAGTTCTGACGTCATGTACAGAAGAGAAAACTGATTTTACTCAGCTGTGAAGCTGAGGACAGCATTACCTTTCTGTGAATGTCAGCTGGGGATGAAACAGCTTTCATTGTACAACACAGAAGGAATAGCAGCAACAGACTATGAAATTTACAGCAAAAGGAGGCTTTCTGTTGCTCCCTTTCTTTTTTTTTTTTTTCCTGCTTAGAAGTATGTAACATTTCAAGATTACTGATACCAATTATTTCTATGCTCTAGATTGTTTATAAAAATATAACACTGTGTTTGCATTGGTTGGAAGTAAATCCATGTCCAAAGATGAGTGCAGCCAGCCACTGTGAGACCTCAGTGTAGTCACAGAAACTACAAAAAATTTTGCCTCAGTGCAAGGCAAACCATGGTGTTTACCTTTTACTCCCTAATAATCAACACACTGTTAGCATTTATCCTGGAATCTTTGGTTCTCAAATGTTAGAAAAGAGGCTGGTCATTTTTAGAGTAATTCTAAAATTTGAAGAGGTTAACCTTTTTGCTCCCAGTATGCTTTACACAAGGTATCCATGGTTCCCAGAGCACCAACTTGCAGAACCTGATTTGGCAGCAGGAATGAGAGTAGAAATATATTCTAACTGCTTTACATTACAGGCTCAAACTCCACCATCATAATTCAGGCACAGTCTCATCAAGAGCTCAGCAGAGCTGTTTTCAACTCTCCTTGTCCTGCTGCAAGCTAAGAGGAGAGTTTAAATAATGGATACTCCCAGGAACTCTGTGTTCCCTCGGTCTTGTTTTCTTCCCTCTAGGTTGTCATGATTCCTGATTTACATACACTTTTGACCTCTTGTGTCCTCACTGAGCATCCTCTGAGTATTGTTATCAAGTCCTCTAACCATCCCCATAAACCAGTATGGAATCATACACCTCTACTCTCACACAGAGCCAAGAGGTCCTTTTTTCATCTTGTTCTTCCTAAACAGAGCCCATTTACTAAGTAGGTTAGGCGCTTTCAGTTTTTTTGCAGAATGGACACTCTTAAAGGTTTTCTAATGGAAAGCCAGCCCACAGTGCATCAAATTTAAGTTTATTCCCAGTAGCTATGCCTTTCCCAGTCATCTTTTACAGGCCCTGGAAAATAGTGTATGGCTCACCAACAGCCTGTGTATTTAAATAAAAACATCTACACACAATCCCATACACACTGAGAAATTATTTTCCTTCTTTGATCCAGTCACATACAATAATCATAACCTCACTATTCTCCATGCTTTATACTGAATTTTTTACTGTAACAGTGCTATTCAGAAAATGGAAGAACAACTCCACCTCTGCAGAAGATAAAAAGCCAATCAGTTGCACCTCTGCGATAAGGTATTTAAGAAGGGACCTGGGAGGAATTGGACTTGTGAGGAGTTGTGACACCTATGTTAACACCAAGGTCATTGGAGGAACGGAGGAAGAAAGGAGGGGGGAGGTGTGCCGGAGCAGAGACCCCCCTGTATCCTGTGGGGAGACGGCAGGGCGGCCCCCCCCTGCCACCCATGGAGATCTACGGTGGAGCAGACACTGATTTATGGCCTGTGGGGGCCCCCATACAACCATTTAAGGTGGTTGCGCCCAAAGAAGACAGGAATCCTGTGGGAAAAGGCAGCCCCGCTGCTGTAATTCAGTGCTGGGAGGATTGCAGCATGCGGGGGTGTCCCACGCCGGAGCAGCTCGGGAAGGGCTGCAGCCCAGGGGAGGGAATCCAGTTGGAGAAAGTTGGTGACCCATGACGGAGCAGTGTGGGGAACACTGCAGCCCATGGGAGGGACTCAAGTCGGAGAAAGTTTGTGGAGGACTGTCTGCTGTGAGAGGGGGACCACGATGGAGCAGGGGGAACAAGTTCCTGAAGTTTCCCCCCCACCAATATGGAAGAAGTGGCAGCACTGCCTGCACCCCCCCACACTCCCTGCCCCTGCACTGCTGTGAGGAGGAGGTAGAGATATTAGGAACAAAGCTGAGCTCAGGAAGAAGGGAGGGGTGGGGGCAGGTGTTTTCAAGATGTGGCAATGCTTCTCACTGTTCTACCCTGTCAAGTGTTGTAGTTAGTGCCTGTATAAAATTTATGTTTTTTTCTTCCCCTAAGAAATCTGTCTTTTGCCTGTGACTGCAATGGGTGATTCATCCCTCCCTGTCCTATCTCAAATCCCAAGACTGTACTTATTTTCCCCTTCTCAGCACTGGGGGGAAAGGGGAAGTGAACAGCTGTGTGGTGTTCAGTGGCCATCTGAGCTGAAACCACGACACTGAGCAAGACAATTCTGTGCTGTCATTTACAGAAGCAATTGGGCTGTTTGAACTGAATTCCCTGTGTTCCCTGTCTCTTCCCTCCCCAGAGTAACTCTACCTGAGACAGATACTTAGTATGGATATTTTCTGTTCAAACAATTCAGAATTTTTTAATGCAATTACCAACACAGTAGTACTGCTAGTACAGAAGCAGCTTTATGCACACAATGCACATACAGTGATAGGAAGACGGAGGGATGTGTTATCACCCCAAGGATTTGATGCACAACAATGAAGGTTTGACAATGTAATTTTATTTTAAGTTATAAATACTGGGTACCTTTGGTTTCTTAGCCTTTAGACTGCATGTGTACATTATATCACCCAGCTGTTCTTTGCATCCTTGAATGCTAGGCTTTGGCATTATTTGAATGACAGTTGAGATTATCTCATGATCTCCTGAATCCAGCAATGAAGATTTTAATACTAAAAATCAAAACTGAGATTCAGCTATGGAAAACTGCAAACCAGCTCTTTTTGTAAGATGTTAGTCCCATGGGTATGCCTAGCAGACTGCAGACTGTCAAGCACTAATTAGCTACAGGGTGGAGCTTCTGACATCAGAGCATTCTTTGGCATTGATATAATTAATTGCAAATACTTGGAAAAGCATATTGATGTTGAAAGCACCTTAACCGATCCCACAAGTTGCAAGTGATGCATTTTATGGTGTTCATTCTGCTGCATTCCTGACCTTTCTCCCCCTCCTATCATTGGATGCTAAACACATCAAACACTGTTAATTGTCCAAAAATTTTAAGGATACATTGTAATTTGAATTCATAAAGGAATGACAAGGGTCCCAGGAGGACTCTGGAGCAAAAAAAGAGAGTGATTGAGATGTGTGGAAAATAAGAGGAGTGGCTGAGAGGGAGTAGGTGAAGGTCTACAAAAAGCAAGTGTATGTGCACCAAAATTATGGTGAGGTGGGGGTTTTTGGAGGCTGGGGATCATCTTGTTGTGCATGTAAAGGCTCAGGCTTGAGGAGAGAAATGTAGAGACACTGGCTCTCTTGGGGGACTATTTCTGACAGAAAAAAACATGAAAGCCTTATTCAGAGGCCTGGCAGGACTATTGATGGCCTAACAAATGGAGCACCATGATTTTTCCCATCATCTGAGTCCTAACCTGTAACATGCTGTGCTGGTTTCATCTGGGACAGAGTTATTTTTCTTTCTAGTAGCTGGTACAGTGTTGTGTTTAGGATTTAGTATGGGAATAACTACTTGTTATGAAAAACAAACAGATGGTTTTAGTTGTTGCTAAGCAGCATTCATAGTAAGTCAAGGACTTTTCAGCTTCTCATGCTCTGCCAGTAAGAAAACTGCAGGGCATAAGAAGTTGGGAGGGGACGCAGCCAGGACAGCTGACCAGAACTGGCCAAAGGAATATTCCATACCATATGGCATCATGCCCGTTATATAAACCGGGGGGAGTTGTCCAGGAGGGGCAGATTGCTGATTGGGGACTGGCACTCAGTCAGTGGCTGGTGAGCAATTGCATTGTGCATCACTTATCTTTCATGGGTTTTATTTCACTTTTCTTTTTTTTGTTATCTTCCCTTTCATTACTTTTTTTTTTTTTCTTTTTTTTTTTTTTTTTTTCCAATTAAACCGTTCTTATCTCAACCCACAAGTTTTACTCATTTTAGATTCTCAAGTGAGCAAGTGGCTGTGTGGTTCTTAGTTGCTGGGTGGGGTTAAATCACAACACATGGATGGCCCCTGTCAAGAGTGGGAGAATTAAAAGCAAAAACAGACACTGCATATGGAGCAAAGATGAAACAGGGTGTGATCATGGGAAAACTGACAAAGAGACAGAACTGAGAGTGTCTAAATGGAGAGACAGCGATAGGACAGATTATGTATTGGCAATTCCAGCCTACAAGAAGTAGCCCTAAAAGGATGACAGACTTCT